CAAGGGGTTAAGCGGGAAGATAATCCAGAGACAAGACCCAGATCAGGCTATCCGGCAGCCACTTAGGCCCATCCCCATTTGCCCACCCCTTTTTGCACTTCTTGGCCCGCTTTTCTTCGCTTTGGGCCAGTTGTTCGGGCCAAAGGCAGTGGTGGCATAAGCATAAGCATAAGCAAAGGCAAAGGCAAAAGCAAAAAGCCGCCTTAACAAGCAGCTGGGCCTGACAACTGTTTGTTGCCCGATATTATTTCCAGCAGTTTTAGTCGCTTGTCGTGTGCAGGGCTATTACCATTAGTTGTTGCTGTTTTTCTTGCCACTTGACACTAAACGAAAATGAAACTGAAAATTGTTTGGCCGAGCCGCAGGCGGCGACAGCCGTAAAACAGAAGTAAACAGGAAAGGCGAAGAGCCAGACGAAACCGATTGGCTAAGCCGAAACCTGAATGTCCTTCAAGGACGAAGCTCATAGAATTCGCTTTTTGCGAATAATAAAGTAACCAAAAAACAACTCAAAGTTTGCACCACACATCTGCTGCTTATACTTTGGATTATGTTCTTTCTATTTTGTTGAGAACAAAACTGCACACAATGGCCAATTGATGAAGGTAAACATGAAACAGGTTTTGTTGCATTTTTTAATGGATTTTATATAGTTTCTATTTACAAAAAATCTCAAAGGTAAACAGTTTGCCCATCAAAAGTTTCCCTTTTTGTTGTTAGGTTTAAAAGGGACCCTTTATTCATCAAATTTATAAGCCAAGATTAATTTATTGAATACATATTTTTTTTGTGCCAGACTCTGTGATTTTAAGGCACACAAAAAAGGGGTCTCTATGTTTTCCAACCAATAAAACTTATATCAGTTTCAAGCTGAACATACGAAACAAAAATAACACAACGAATTGAATGACTTAAATAAAAGCATTAGGAAAGCTGGAATACAAAAAAGAGAAAGCGAGGAGAAAGCCTGGTGTTACTTACTTTAAAGAAACAAATCCATTTCATTCGAATGTTTAAGCTGCTTATTTTGGTACTATCTTTCGTGAATGATTTTTAATGTGGTAAATAATATGATGGCTGTTAGTTTAACCCGAGTCCTGCCACAGTGCATATGCCTTGTTGTCTGGGGAAATCCTTGTGGTAAGGCAGTTGGAAAATGTTTACAGTTTCGCAGCCACTTGAAAAAGTTCTCCACTGCCACTCCCCCATATTTCTGCGGCCGCCCCTTTCTCTCATGGCTTCTACTTGGCCAGGTTATTTATAGCTGTCGCTCGTTTGTTGTACGTATTTTTTAATAAGTTGTTTTTGCCTGTCGCTCGGTTTATATTTTGCATAAATTATGTCAGCCACCACCCACCCCGATCCGCCCACTTTCTACCGCTTTCTCCCAGCGACAACACTTTAAAGTTTTAATGGCGCTCTGCCTAGGCTTCAGTGTATGTGCATGTTTGTTTGTTTGCCCGCTTGTGTTTTATTAATGAGCTGCGCCAAATTAAGTTTAATGTGTGTGCGTTATCTATGTGTGTTTGTTGGCAAGTTTGCATATTTAAATGTTGCAAGCTGTCGCTGTTGCTGTCCCTGTCGCTCCGTTATCCCCCTCTCCCTTGCTCCTTTGTCTTATCAAACACGAAAAACAATTGTTAGAAGTTCAAGGGTAATACTATCAAACCTGATTTTAACGTTTAAAATTATTTGTTACACTTTTCTTACTTTTCAAAGACGATCAAATTTAGTCATTGTCCGTGCCTGAACAGATTATAAATAAAATAAGAGAAAAAGCAAAAAACTAAAATGAATGATTTAGAAACCTGATTTCAATGTTAATTATTATTTTTTTTTATTTTTTCTAACTTTTCAAAGATGATCAAATTTAGTGATTGTCCTTGCCTAAACAGATTACAAATAAAATAAGAAATACAACTTTACTAAAATATCACTTGTTGGAGCTATAATAACTAACTATCTATTAGATACCTAATTGTAAGACCTTCTTGTACTTGAAGCTGATATCTTTTTCTCACAGTGTATCATCTGTCATCTACCTCCTTTTGCCACTGTCCATCTCTGTTTGACATTTATCATTTATAATTGTTTTGACTGTGGCAAAGGGACTTCCGAGTCCGAGAATTTGTGACCGAAAAATGGGGCGGCTGGGTGGTAGGGGCGTGGCTGAGGGGTTAAAGGGATTCATGTAACGGTTTTCTTTGGGCATGCATATATTTTGACATTTTGACATGCATTAAATCAGTCAAGCGTAAGCCACTTTGAGCTCCTCCTTTGACTCTGCGGTGCACGCTCAACTTCTCTACGCTTGTCTCTTTCCCCTGAACTCGTCCCCTTTCTTTCTACCAAACAAGACCCCTCTCTTTCTGACACACACTCCATGCATCCATCCATCTCCATCTCGGTATTTTCGGGGCGCCAAGTTTTGGTGGCAAAGCAAAAACCGCAGCCATGTATTTAAATGCGCACTCAAATTTTGAATGCAACTTGAAAATTTCAAGTGCCACTGAATGAAACCGCATTCGATATATATAAATACTATATATACCATTAAATGATGTCAAACTAGACAGTAAATGACAACCAGAGGCAGGGATTACACTCCCTTCAGACTTTAGTCAGCTTTGATCTTTCGGTGCTTGATCCGGTTCGATTTCCCCCTGTCCATTTTGTTATTTTGGCTTTTCGACTTTTGGTACTTACACAAGACTTAAATTGGTGGTCAATGTTATGCAAGATTATTAATTTTATTCTGATTTAAGGATTACAAATTCGAATGCTTAATCTAAAAGGGCCTCTTTTCATAGTGGGCTTATCGAAGTTCTTGTCAAGGAAATGTTTTTGTAACAGATTAAAGCTTAAATGCTTGTTGAATGCATCACAATGGGCTTTGGTCAAACTGCAGACACTAAAGCGGTCACACTAAACTTCCTTTGGTTTGAATTAGCTAACTTTTAACCTTGGCTTGGTTTCGGAAAAGTTTGAATAAATTTCGCATAAAACATTTGAATTTATGTGTATTTTTGCTACATCAAATTCAAGGTCAGAACTGACGGGATAATGGTTAATTCAAATCCTAATCACACATTTTTTAAGGTTTGATCTTTTGGGTCAAGTTCGCTGCCTTATCTTGCCGCTTGTGTCCCAAGATTTACAATCTATATCTGTGGATCTTCTGCTCCTGGACACTCCCCATCCATCGTTACCCGAAATTTATGGGTTCTCCCGACAGACGCAGAGATTTGGTGCTGGGAGCAACAAACAGTTTACGGAAATTTATGTGGCCAGAAATTTGCACATGTTAATTGCTACAAAGCAGGGGGTGGAATGGGTGACTATTGCGACTAACGGTACACAAGGCCACTGCTGACGCCGAAAATGCTGCGAGTCCAGAATTTATGGATAAATTATCGAATTTATTTATTTTCGCCTCTCTTGTGTGCGTTTCTTGGTTGTGTTTACTTTCAGATTTCTTTTAAATTTAGCTGCAACAATTTTTCATAATTTTGCCGTTGGCATAAATCAACAAAGAGGAAGACGGTCTGAAGAGGGGTACCAGCATGTTTCTAGTCATTTGTTTTGGGCAATAGTTTTGCAGTCACCGCACGCAGGCGAAAGCGACACAGTTTTCATCTAGCCTCCTCCTTACATCTCCTCGCTTTTATTATTTTTCCTGCCAACAAAAGCAGGCAAGGACCCAGATGAAAATGTGGGCAAGGTGGCGGGGCGGTGCGGTGCGGCGTGGGCGGGCGGTTTTAGGGGGTGGTGGCCCAAGGGGGATGTGCTGTGAGTGCACTCAAAAAAATATAAGATCAAAATTAATAAAGAAAAATACGCTTACAACAAGATTTAAACAAGTTTTAAAAGACAGTTTTTTTTTCAACAACAAGACACAATTGGGAATCTGTATTGTTTTGTCTTTAAGCTTGCATTCTAAATAAAAAGGAAGATCCACAATACCTTTAAATGTAATTCCTTAACCCATTAAATTTTTTTCAAATTTAAATTTCATATCGTTATTATTTTTTAATATAACAATGACATTTTCTTCATGGTCTTTCAAATTTAAAAATTGTTTTAACGAAACTAAATAACCGTTAAACTGTAAATTAAAGTTTAATCGTTATCAAAAATATTATAATGCGCAACAATATAACAAATGTGAAACTTTTTTACTTTAAACAGTTCTCCAATTTTAAATTAAATTTCAAGATTTTTAATTGAAACCATTTCTTTATCTGTGTGGTCTGAGCGATAGTGAGAATGAGCGACGATGTCTGGCACAATTACGCCAGCAACAACAAGTGCAACCACAGTACAAAAACAACAATAAGACATAAAGAAACCCCCTCGGTCGTCGTTCCCGTTGTCGGTTATTACCGCTACTCTTTGGCGTCTTTAATTAAGGCATGGGCAGCGGGCGAAACAAAAAAATTTAATTTGTTTGTAATTAATATCCTGAGGTTTGGTTTAGTCGTCGCAGAATGCATCGCAATGTGCATTGGTCACACTGGGTGACATAAAGCAATCACACCAAATCAATTGACTGCCGACAATTTAAATTAACTTGTAGGTCACAGTGACTATGGTTTTAGAGCATTTTATCCTAAATGAGTTTTAAAATGGTAGGTTCAAATGGTACGCATAATTAATGAAGATTGGATTCATTGATCTGGAAGTCAGGGCTTGCCCCGAAATGAAATTGTATAAATTGAATTGCAATTCTGATTTGCGTCCAACAATTGGAATAGGCGTGGTCAATAACTTCCTGCTTTATATTACATTTGATAATTCAATTATATTTTTATGAATTTAATTACGAATGCGTTTTAAATTGGTCACAAATAAGAAGGGCTTAACATTTTTTAAGACTAAGTATATTTGTTTATGTACTATAATAATATTTTTTAAGTAACTTTTATAACCCCCGCTTTGAGTGCAACTGCGCTTTGGTCACATTAATCGATTGGCTTACCGTTAAATTGAAAAAAACTCACCTGATGATTGGCTTTAATATTTGTAGGATCTGCCAACTGTTGCCAATGATCACCAGGATAACGCCGCAAAAAATCACTATCGCTTGAACAGTTCAGTTAATGCCACACTTCTCGATTAACGGTACGCGATCCAAGCCGATTAAAAAAACCAACGGTATTACAAAACAGCACTATATTTCTTTTTTAGGGGAACCGCTAATATTGTTGTTACTGCTGCTGCCGATTTTGACCATCAGACAAAAACTGGCGGCGGCGCCGCGTGCACGTGGTTTTGGCCTCTGTTTGGGCCATGGCTGAAATTAGGTCCTTCAACTCGCGATTGGACTTGTCTGGATTTACATCCCAGGTTTTATCTTTTCGGCACTGCAAATCACTGGCAAAAAAAGTGGAAGCAAAACGACTGACAATTCCGCACCTTGGCGAAAAGCACCGGAAAATCGCGAGTTGGCTGGATTTAATGACTGTTTATCGTTCGCGAGTCTCCAAGTTTTCGGGGTCCTTGATGCGCGGAGCATCCGTGAAGCTTGGAAATTGGTAAACAACTAAGCCGAGGCGGAGAAACATCGATGTTTTTCGCATTTTTCAAACATCGATTGTTCGTTGCGCCTATCGATGCCTTATACCGATGTTTATTGCTTGTTCAAGTCATTTTAAAGCAACGATTCACCTCTAATTGTAATGCCATTCCTTGTTAGGTCCATGAAAAGTTAACTTTTAACCGTCTCATGCCATTTTCAATTTTTAATTATTTCAATAAAAAGTGTTACCACACCTGAAGAAGTTTCTTGACAATATATCGGAACCAGTTCCGTTTGTGTAACGTTTATTATGGTGCACATTTTCAAATAAATCTACTCGCAGGATTATTTAAACTTTAAAATAATGCCAAAATTATAAATAATTGCAAATTGTTTACTGGAAATTCGTGTTACAACTGTAAGTGAGGACATGGGGTTAGAAATCAATAGCGAGATTTGTTTGTTATTATGTTATTAAACATTAACGCACAACTTTAAAAAATAAATAAATTGAGTACACACAAGGTTACAATAACCCATTTATATATTGATTACTTTGTTTAAATTTGGTCCTCTACCAATGGGACCTCCAAAATTTAAAACAAATTAATAATAGTTCTGAAGTGTGCAACATATTAAATAAAAAATAAATGAATACGCCTGACCTTATCTTGATACATTTATTAACCTGGATTAAGGGTACTCGAAAATGCCAGGTGTATGCATCCTGGAATTATCCAACACTGCCGCTTGGTATGTTTAAAAAAGGCGCTCACGGTCGCACTAAAATAATTCGAGTTTTTTTTGTTGGGGTATTAATTTTTGGAAGATAATTAATGCTGCACTAGGCAAAATAAGCTGTGGATAGTCCCGAAAGGAGTGCCGGGGATAGCGGCCATGAATTTCCCACTGGCGAATGCCAACAAGGACACTTTGAGAGCCGCCTGCAAGAAGTGCGGCTATGCCGGTCACCTGACCTACCAATGCCGCAATTTTCTCAAGGTAAGCCTGCACAAAAACCGCATGTTTCACGTAGCTAATGCCGATCCGTGCAGGTGGACCCCAACAAGGAGATCCTGCTGGATGTGGAGAGCACCAGTTCGGACTCGGAGCTGGACTACCTCACGCCGCTCACGGAACTGAGAGCCCAGGAGCTGAAAGGAGGCACTGAAGTGCCACCGCCAGCGGTCCCCAAGGATAAAAACAGGGATAAGAGCCGGGACAAGCTCAAGGAGAGGGACAGGGAGAAGGAGAGGGACAAGGAACGCGGCCAGCAGGACAAGAAGAAAAGCAGCTCGAAAAGAAGCCACAAGGTGGCCAACAACGACAAGGACAAAAAGTCATTGCGGCACAAGAAGAGCAAGAAAAAAAGCCGGAAGCACAAAAAGTCCAGCAGCGAGTTGGCCAAAACCAAAACCAAAACGGGCAAAAGACCCAGCAGCGGCAGCACCAGCAAAAAGTCAAAAAGACGCCGCTCCTCCTCGACCTCCAGCTCATCCTCATCGGATTCCTCCTCCAGCTCGTCATCCTCATCGGAAGACTCCAGCGATTCCTCAGAATCCGAGTCCGATTCCAGCGACAACGAGGAGTCGAGCACGAGTGAATCGGATGAGTATGGACGGAAGAAAAAGCGTCAGGGCAAGTACAAGCGCAAATCCACGGATACGGCCATGTTGCGCCGCAAGAAGTCCAAGGTGAAGCGAAAGCGCCATCGCGCTGGGGGATCTGGTGCTCCAACCGCCGGCAGCAGCTACCTGAGCAGCCTCAGCGACAGCAGCACCTACTGAAGGATCAGGATACACAGCTGCCTCCCAAAGCACTCGCTCCGTAAACTAGTTCGATTTCCGTTTAGCCGTAAGGGGAGGAACTCCTGCCTGTTCCTCCTTCTTCCACACAGAGACTGCCTCCAGTTCCAGGCCCAAAACTTCCCACAAAACTCTTCCCCGGAATACGAAAAGCAAACACTAAACCCTAGACTTGTCCTAGCCCTTAAGTTTCAGCAGGATCTGCTGCAAATACAACAAATTAGTTTGTACAAGAGAAGACATTTAGTTTCTTTCAATGAAGAAGGGATTTATTATCTATATCGCTCATTTACTAAAAGACTCGTACTTTAGGTTTAGTTATTGATACAGAAACACACGTTACATCTTGACTGGTATTAGCTTATCGATATATTATTATCCAATCTTCCATGTAATTCAACAGAATTCACTTAATTAATAATAGCCCTTTGAAGTAATACAAATGATATATTTTAATAATATTTTATAATTATTCTTTTAAAATTAGTTCATTTAAATAAAGTTTGGTCGAAGTCGAATGATTCAATGATGTTTATAAAAACTTAATAAAAGTAATTTCAGCTAGCCAGTAAAAATTCGGATTTGTATCAATTTTGATCAATATTTAAAATTATTGAAGAGATTTTTTACAATAAAACAAAATACAACAATATACTAGTGTTAATAGTAAAACATCATCTGGAGTCAATTTAAGATTACATATATTCTTGTTATCTGCAAAATAGCTCATTAATAATGATAATCTTTTAGTAAATGAACGTTATAAATGTCCATAGTCCCAGTTCCCAGGGTTTTTTATTGAAACTAATGGATATAAAGAAAGCTGGTAGTGTCTGGCTTGTATTTATGGATATGTTTGGAACCCTCACACGCGTTATAATACATTTTAGGTAACAATACAAAACAAATTAATTTGGATAGCAACTATAAGCGACCGGAGCTAGAGTCCCCTGATTTCTGATAGATGCGCAAGGCTTCCTGCAGCGCGGAAATGTGTTGGTGCATTTTGGCTATCTGCTTGGAAGACTGCTCACAATTGTGGCATGCGGATGCGGAATTTAAATCACGGTTAACTTTGCTGGCCAAAAGCTGTTCATTCCGCTCCTTGAGATCGCTATTCTGGACTAGCAGCTCCTCGCAAAGAGCGCAAGCGGAGCAGCGTAGATCCTCCAAGGCCTGTTCCCTTGCCTTGAGATTTCTCATCAGGGCACGATTCTCCCGCTTAAAGTTGAGCAGCTTCTGCTCCAGCTCCAGCATCTCATCCTCGCTGTCGCGATCGAGCAGTGGATCGCTAGGAGCTTCAACTGGAATGGCCGACTTTCCCATGCGATTCATGGCCTGCAGGATGGCGTCCATCTTGTGCTCCATCATCAAGCCTGAGGCTCGCTGTTCGACCATGTATTTGTCCAATGCTTTTACCGCCGGAGGATTATCCGGAGTTTTTCCTGCAGTGGCTATTGTCAGGGCGCCAGCAGCACTAGGTTTCTTTTGGGTATTTGATGAGCCTATGGGTCGCGGCAGTGGCGTGACTATCACATCTTCGTCTGTGGGGCTTCGGTCCCGTCTCTGTTCCAGTTCGGGTTCCTCATTCCCCAGCTTCTCCAGAGATGGAATCCCCACACGTAAACGCGGCTGTGGCTGTGGAGGATTGGCCGGTGTCTCCTTCATCCTCGAACTCCTAGATTTCTCTCCGGACTTGGACAAATCCTCACAGGAAGGTGATCCCGAGCTGGAGGACAAAACCTCGCTGGGAAACTGATCTATTGGCAGATTGTTCTTCACCATATACCGCACAAATTCGCGCTCATCCGCTTCTCTTTCGAATCGTAGGCTCCAGAAACGCTGCTCGTCGTCGTAGAACTGCAGGTAGGTCTCCCGCAGGATCACCTTACCGCCACGAGGTGTCAGTTGCAGGGTGGTCAGCACTTGGTTTTTGCTCTTATAGACAATCAATTTGGAAGCCTCCATTTCACCCAAAATCGATAGAGCAAATCCTACTCGACCCAAGGTCTCGTTCCCTTGATAGGCATGTACCACATGGGCAATCACCGTTTTCCATGTGGAAATGTAAGGATCACCCGTATCCATAGTACTACTCCTGGCAATCGTGGGTTTTTGGGTACCTTGTGATTTCTTGGAACTTCCCGGCTGATAACGCAAACTAGGCGATTCGTTCTCCAAAGGACGATCGTCGTCCTCGAAGATCTGGCGCAAATTTCGGGGGCCCGAATCACTGGAGTTAAATAAATTATTAATAATCCACATCCGGTTAATGATTCCAGGCTTGACTCACCTTCGCAACTTGTCAAAAAAGTCCTTATAGGACTGGTCGTTGCCAATTTCCATGCTGCTTATGTATAACTAGGATTTAGCCCGCCTAAAATATAACCCTACACGTATGGTCGTATCAAAAATATACAAATGCATTAATTAAGTTACTTTATTTTATTTTATTATTGTAGTTTGTTTTCAATAGTGATGTGAAAAATACATCCATCTATCGATTTTTTTTTCCAATAAGAAAATGTATATCGGATTATTGGTTGTCCAAAATAATGCAAATTTATATTAATATATTTTGATACTTCTAGTGAAAAGACAACAAATGACCTTAAAATCCGTGTTATGGATTAGTATACAAAAAATTTGGGAAAAATATTTTGAAAACAATTTGATAGAGTTCAAAACCATTGTCCTCACGGCACAGTCGACTGTTGTCAGCTGTTTTCGGAAATCCCGGCCGTTCCGCTGGAATGTGCTCTGTGGGTATTACGAAAAACTGAAATTTAAATGGTGATGGAGGAGAAAATTGGGAACATTTAATTATTGGTATCGGGTTTTTTACGTGGATAAAACAAATTTGGGAATATTATTTACATATAATAAATATATGTTTGGCTAAATACTCATTTCGCAGTTTGTTTTATAATAATGAAATGAATATTTATTGCATAAATTTCGTTGCATTCAAAGAAAATAAGATAAAAGATCGTCGTTGTTAGGCGCCATCCTTGCAGAACACATCAAAAGATTAAACCGGTTTTTAGCGAAATAGTTATCCCATGGTTAGAACGTTACTTCTGGATTAACAATTAACAATTTTCGGCACGCCAAAACCTATTGGACCATCCGTGATAGAATTATTTCGATTAATACTTAATGCCACAAAGCACACTCCCAACTCATTAACTAAAATCTATTCTTGACAATCCCAATTAGACTAGTTTCAAAGAATGGTGGTTTTAATTATATTGTTGCTTTGATGATCGATTTATAATGAACACGATCATTGCCTCAGTGTGTAAAGGTTATAACGCCTGAGAACACATAATGAACTAGGTCTTTTTTCGTTATAAGGTGTATGTATCTGGTTCATTTTAATGCTTTGTCCACGCCGGTTAAGTGGCAAACGTGTGCAACTAGTATATATTCTGAATTATTTAACTCTTCCTTTCAATTTAATTGTGTGCGTTTTGCATTTAACAAGAAGCATTCGGGATGTTTTCATACCAATAATAGGCAAGAATCAATTTTCGAACATATTAAGCCTATCTATGTATGTACATACATACAAATATACATAAGTACATATGTATAAAGATGAAAGATTCATTTTCAACAGGTTAAAATCATATGTAAATAAAGACATGTAATAGGTATAAAAAATCGAATTTGTACCTATGAAAATATGCCATAAAAGAGTTACTGTGAACACGAGACTAAATATTTTTTAATTGTGCCTTTTTTTGTTGTAATAAATACACACATATTCATTAACGAATATTTTTTATTGTACGCAGTATTGCATATTTGAGTTCTTTAAAGTTCATAATAATCCGACACGCATAAATGGCTTAAGGTTACGAGACGAAACCCTATGCTTTGAACCGATCCTCTTGGCCAAACAATGGATCTTTTATGTTCGGAAAACATATTTAATGAATCTGATTCATCCTTGTATCGCCTAAACAAATGCCAACAAAAAATGGCTGCGCCGACGATCATCAGGGAACCACAATCAATATGTTCGGCAAAAACAGATCCTGATTCAGAGCAAAATCCTGCAAACTTTTCCCAAAACAAGACTGTTGTATGCAATATGAAGGAGATCGTCTATATATATGCATCGATGGACTCTGCCGAGAATCAAGAATTGGAACCACGTTACATCAGCAACGAATCGACGTCACAATCGCAATCACAACAACTTCAAGAGCGGCTGACTAAATCGAATTCGAATTCGAATGCGAATTCCAATTCGAATTCTGCGTCGCCCGCAACGGACAACGTAAACACTGCAATAGGGGACCCCACATTATATTCCGATCGATGTCTAGAGAATGCGCTCAAGACCGAGGAGAAATACCACCAAATTGTCGACACGTACTCCACCATTCAAAAGGACATCACTCCGCCAATGCGAAAAATTGTCGCCGAGTGGATGATGGAAGTGAGTATTCTGTTCGAAGTGGGTACATTTATACCCGTATATTATATAGCACCACAAAAACCACCTAGAAAAAAGCAATCGAAACGTAACTTCAAACTTCAGGACGAATTTAACACTTATGATTCAAAACAATGCTTCAGAAAATAATACAATTTTTAACTACATTAAAACTTTGGGAATTAAATAGATTATTAATTAAAGTCGTAAAAAAGTCTTATCCCAATTTGTATGCGTTTCTTTTGAAAAACAAAGATAATATCTTATCGTATCTAGTAGGTTCTTATGATTTCAAAATGATAGGGTCGTCCGATTAAAATAAACTAAAAACATTTTGGTGAAATCTTATAAAACGAGAATAGTTTTAACCACATGTTGTTACCTTAAAATAATACCTTACCTTACCTTAAAATAATAATAATTACCTTAATAAAATAATAATATTGTATGGAATATGTTTTCTCACCTGATTAGATTTTAAACTTGATCTCTTCAGTCTCTTAATATTCAAAAAGAGAAAAAAACTTGATCTCCGTAAACGTGTAGAAAAACGATTAGGAAAGTTTCATATCAATACCCTTAAACTGGGCTTGCAAACAATGATTATCCAAAATATTTATACTTTATAAGGTTGCCAATGTCTCCTTAACTGCGTAACCAACTCTTGATCAAATTTTAAACACCCTTTGGAAGGCTTTGAAATGCAAAAGTTTTTTATACCTTAAGACTGTGTTCTTTTGCGGTTCTATTTTGTTGGCCATGACTTTCAAGTCTCGCCTATGCAGCTATAGAAAAGCTTTTAATCCATGAAGAGATATCTCCAGTGATCATAGAAGATGGACATTGTTCCAAAAGGGGACAGGTGCATATTAATACTTTCATACTCTAAATGATTATTTTGGTAAGCTTGGCTGTTTTAAAGCGATATTTTCTTGCTTCGCAAATCGAACAAAAACGAAAGAGCCAAGTGACTTACACCAACATGTACATTAGGGTGCCGCTCAGGGCTGACAACCGTTCACATTTCCATATATTACGTCATGATTGTTTTGGTGATCTTGACCCCTCTCATCTAATCAATTTGTTATCCGAAAATATCCAAAATGTCCAAATGCCTCGCTGATGACCCCACTTGATGATCTTATAAAGTATTATATGAACGGTTTCATAACAATTCGTTTCCTTCGTCATAACAATTTAATATTTTATTATCTACTACTATTTTCTTCATTGTTTCAATTGAATTAACTTGTTAACTTGTTAACTTGTTTCAGGTGTGTGCCGAAGAAAATTGCCAGGAAGAGGTCGTGCTACTGGCTTTAAATTACATGGATCGATTTCTTTCGAGCAAATCAGTACGCAAGACCCATCTGCAAATCTTAGCTGCTGCTTGTCTTTTACTTGCTTCCAAACTCCGTGAGCCCAGCTGCCGTGCACTTTCCGTAGACTTACTTGTTGTTTATACAGACAACAGCATTTACAAGGATGATTTGATTGTAAGTCCTTGTTATTTTTTTTTAAGCCTAACTGACTTAAAGGTACATTTTTATGGATTGTGAAATGGTATAGAAAACAATCGCAAAGGTGTCATTATGTTTAACATCTTAGATTTTTGGGTTAAAAAAAAGCAGTTGTATACTTTTTATTTTAAAACAATTAATAAAACAACAACACACTTTTGTAGTAACCAAACATTTTCAGATAACAATAGGTATTTTCTTTGCAAAATTATTCCACCAAAGTTCATTTATCTTCCATTAAACAGTATTTCGCGATTTGTGGTCATATAAGGGGGCTTGTGCATGTTGTGTGTAGATACTTGGCATTATTAACACCTGCTCCGTATAAAACGATTGTTTCAACTGATTTGTTCAGCTTAATGATAAGAAATCTTGCTTTAAATGTATTCTTCCATTTTCTCTAATCAATCGTGTTTTTTGTTCATTCTTATTTTAAGAAATGGGAGCTGTATGTGCTAAGCCGTTTAGGTTGGGACCTGTCATCTGTGACACCTCTGGATTTCCTTGAGCTTTTAATGATGCGCCTGCCGATAGGAAGTAAACACTTCCCAGACATAAACATTGGAAAAGTCAGAGGACATGCACAGGCATTTATATCACTAGCAGCTAAAGGTGAGTTTACACATTTAGATATAATAATCAAAAAAATATACTGTTGAGTGTTAAGCTTTGTTAAAATCAACATTTTATTGACACCTCTTGTAAAAAAATGAAATATATAATCTAAAATCTGTTCAGAATATGTATAGTTTTCCTTTTCTTCTTTTTGTGGGCAGCTTTGTTACATATAGCTGCCATTGAAGTAGTTGATCTTCAGGGATATCTATAATTTCTGTTTACTGAAAATTCTCCCTCTTTTCTTTTATTTTTATAAACCTATTTCGGCACTCCAAAGAACATAAATTCGCGAAATTCTCGGCCAGCACAATAGCTGCATCAAGTATAGCTGCATCGATGAATGGCTTAAAATGGCATCTGCGATCGGGACATAACTTACATTTTCTGTTGAGTCTTATGACTGACCTAACCAGCGTGGAGCAGGTGAGTGTAAGATGAGAACTGCTTTGGAATCTTTTATTTATATGTTTTTATGAACAGGCGCAGGTGCAGGATTGCATGCTACATATGGAAGACATATTTAAGGAGCACAGTCGAAACTTGCAGCCCTTTTTGATGAACATAGATCCTTCACAAATGTCAACGTTATACTATCAGGGTCGCTTTCAAATACATCAATCCCAGCACCTTTCCCAAATCTCAATTCGATCCTTGCCACTGCCGAAAACTCCAGCCGACTGTGTGGAACAACATCAGCAGCACAGCTTTGGGGCTGCAGCTCCTCATAGAACACATACATGCAAGATGCAGGCGCAGGCTCAAAATGAGCTACAAGACGTTACATTTTGAGGATTCAAAATACATCAAGATAGTTATAGAAAGCTAGATTTTAAACAAAAATATATTTCATACTATTTTAAAGCGTATATAGGATCACGCTTACATTATATACCATGTAAGATCGGTCAATATTATACGGTTTACATCTACACCGGTGTATTTATTTACCCAACTACGTGTACTAAACCATGGGTTTTTATTGTAATTATTAATAATTTGTATAAATTAGTGTAAGAAATTCATCATGAAACTTTAAAATGGATAAAACATTAAAACGAGACTGATTGTAAACAGTAAAGCAACATTTTATATTTTGTATATAAGCTTTTCGAAAACCTACCCAGATAACCAAAAAATAACGAACTATTAAAATAAAAGTTTTACAAAGGACATCCAATTTAAAAACACAATATGTAAAAGTCAAATTTAACAAAAACTTGGATAACAATAATTTTAGTTGGTAATAAATGATAGGAAGAAGCAAACTCATGTGCACTTTTTATTTTATAAATATATTATATATATTTTAATATATTATCAATAATTAAACGAATTTTCAATGAATGGGCTGGCAATGTAAAGCTATATTTTCGCTAAATTTAAAATTTTTCTTACTTTATGTAGACCATAGTTCGAAAAGAATAAACAATTTCCGAAATTTTGAGAGTTACAAGAAAGATTAGCGCTTTTTTAATTTGGAACTCCTCGCTGCAGAAAGAGGGGCAAAATGGAGGAACCGCGAAATTTTCTCCAGCAAAATCTGGTTCAGCCTCCAGTCAACTAACCTAATTTAAATGGGAAATACTTGCATGCTTATTTATATGAAAAGACATGTATTAAAGAAAACGCAAATAATTATATTTTAGTTTATTTTCTTAATAACATACGACTATAAACAAGAATCATTAAAGACATTAACCTTAACACACATAATAATATTGTTGTATTGAATAGTTTTTAAATAATTATTTTCCGCAACACGGACTCATCGATGCTAAATTATATTTGTTCGCATTTATTTTGTTGTTTCAAAGATAGTTAATACATATTTTAAAGTGAATACATAGTTTTATTTTACCATCAATGTAGAAGCATTTTAACACTGCAATTAACGTTTTTTCATTCTTTAGTTTTATTTAAGCTACAAATAAAAAACAGGCTTGATTGCACTCGGAAAGTGCAACAACGCCAGCAAGTGCTATTTTACATCGCAATCGGGCGTTATTGCACTTGTTAAGATACAATAACTCCTGCAGGCATTATCTTATCGCACATTTTCAATTGCAATAACGCCTCTTCAACTGCATTACTAATAACTATAATACCCTCTGCAAAGTTATAAAAACAAAACTACAAACCTAAATTTTTTTTTACATATAAATATTCCTTTTTGATAATAAATTTATTTATTTCATGCTTGAATATACTTTAAAAAGTAAATGTTCCATGATGATATCAACTCGAAAGCAGTAGCTCAATTGTAAAAATGTCCAAAGCTTGTGACACCGACAATTTTTTCCATAGATTTAAAACCAACAGACATCTAAAAAGCTTCGAATTATGTGATACTTCTTTGATGGTATGTGATGACGCGTACGTGCTTGCTATTCGTTAATAATTTTTATGCGCATTATGCTTATTTTTGCCTGAATTACTTGAATCGGGAACTAAAGGCATTTGATAATTCATTGACGGCTGCTTGGCCAACAGCCTGATTAACTTGTCCACGCATACTCTCCGGTACATAACGATGGGCGCCCGTTTGTTGAGTAATAGCACCGCCGAGAGCTCCAGAAACACGCCTTGAAATGTATAAGTAGTGGATTATTGAATTTGAAATCTTAACATCCTCATTCTTATTAATAATTGGCGCAGTCTATGTCTATGCAACCAACCAAACAGTTATAGATTTGCTTTAAGCCCCTGATTGTTAGTATCGGTTTTTCAGATTAAATTCCAATACCTTTGACGATATTAAAAATAAATAAAAAAATATTGAAATAAAATATATTTAAAGAGGTCAGCCCATATATATATATTTTTTTAGCACTCTTTAGCAAAATAAGAATGTATAATTTTCTTAAATATGTGCTGAATCCAAATCTGGCCACGAAAATGTTCCAGAATCACAGTGTTTTGAGAGAATAGATTTCAAAGTTGAAAAAGAGAATAGGACGAAATTTACAAATTGTTTGTCCTTTTTACAGATTTTTAATCCGTATTTTCTACTTTTTTCCCCGATATTATCGAATTCAGGAATTTACTTTTTTTTGACATAGTCACATTAGCATTACCAAAACTCGACTTCGCTTATGTACATACATATGTACACTTTAAGATAAACACCAAAAATAAAAAGAAATATGTGTCCCGCCAGTAAGCAATACACACTTATGCAATACGAACAATTTATGTATTTATTTATGCACTTTATTTGTGTATACGTAAACTGGTCATATGTAATATAATTTGCTTCATATTTCCATCGTCACAATCCATTTGAGTAAGTCACAAGAGTATTTTCATGACTTATATTTGTAATCAACATTAAAATAATACATTTTACATAAATATATATTGAAAGACAACAGTACTTTTGGGTTGACATGGCAAGAAAGGGTTTAACGTCAAAAGTATACAAAAAAAAAATAAGGGCTCTGCTATTATTCTGCACACAGCTGCTTATGCTAATAATTTTTTTATTTAAGAGGAAATCGATACAAACCACTTAAAAAATCTTTGCGATATTCATTCACAGCTTATGTTGTATTTATTTTCTTTTGGATTTAAAAAAAAATTGTTTTATACATCTTATATGTATTTCTTCAAATATTTTTTATTAGCTTTTTTGCTGTCATAAAAATCAGTTTAGGAAGTGACCTTTGATTTATATTCGAACTTTCTGATATTTGTCTTGGTCGGCGTTTTTTTAAATTGCCGAAACTTAAACAAAGACCTAGAAATATTCACGGAATGGACAATACAACTTAATCGTGTAAATTAATCGTTTCTTGGAAACGGGACAGCGTAATTAACTTCCGACTATCTTAAACGGAATGGGAATAAATAATTTTTCTTACAGAAATAGCATTAAAAAGTAATAAAATCTTCACAGTGAAAAAATAGTTGAAGAAAAGCAATAATTAATAAGTTTCTAATTTTCACCAGGCTGCATATTCATATTGCCCATTTTTATGGTCAGCATTAAAAATTAGCAGATCAGAAAAACCAAAGCAAATCTTACTTAATCAGTTTGAGTCCCAATAATCCCAATAACTTTTTTAATTAATCGGAGGGGCTTTTTTTTACTATTTTTTTGTTTTCGTAAGTTCAAGGAAATACTTTGTGACTGACCTTAAATGTTTTTAACGTTGCTTTACCTAACATTTTCTAATTTAATTGGGTTTTATAGTTTAACATCAACAACAACACAATGCAGTTAACGAAAGCTATTTATTAATAGTTAGCTATATAATTAAGATAATTGGTTAATATCGCCATTAAGCATCTGCCCATACAAATAGTTACATAACTTTTGAGCGTATGCCATTGATAAAGGGACATAAAATAATAATTAGACATGCACGAACAAATGCACATACATTTGTACATATATTGTATATCTACACAGGAAAGTAGACATTACGAAAAACATCTTATGGAATTAAAGAAATCATGTGCATCTCGACTAGTTGCTTTTCACATATTAAGAATTTATATCAGTTTTAACGCTTTCAGGTTATATATTGACTACAATAATACGCAAGCGATTTAAATGTATCGATTTCCCATCGTTGTTGTTATTTTGGATTTTGCCGGAATAATATCAAAGTTCAATTGTTGAAAGTAGAATTGGGTACTGTGTTGGTTAAATCGTCAGCAAGCTACTTTTTGAAGGTTCATCCCCTAGACGTACATATGTATCTCGATGCTGACAACAATTTAACGACGTCTGTATATTTGTTATTGAATACATTTGATTTCGTGTTAGGCAATTTTGTTGTAGGTTTGATTTAAGAATGTTTTGGTTTTTATCGTATCACATAGAAAGAGAAAAAAGAGACAACAAAAACAGTTTTATTAATTTTGTTCCAAACATCTTGATCAAGAAAATTATTAGTCAACTTAAATTAAACAGTGATAAGGCATAGCTTGAATTTTAAGTTCAAAAATTACGCGACTAATTAATAAATCATATTATACAGCAGGGTTACACAGAAATCGCTTTTGCTAGCATTTCACTTCAATTTCCATATGCGTTGCCACAGATCTTTTTATCAGGTGATTTTAAAATCGCGAACCGTTTACCACTTTTATTCAACCAATCCATACATAAATAATTTATCGAAGGGGTGTATAACTCCCGTTAAATCCTATATATATACTTTAAAATAAACCTCGTGATTAAATTAACATAATAACAAATGGCTAACCAAACTTTTGACTGAGTAATACAATTTATTGTCAGCACTGCCACTACTCTGAATTCGGGCCCCAATCTTAAATGTTTTAAATTAACCAATTTAGAAGATGGGAAATGTCAATTTCACCGCGTAGTAAACTTCTAAATAAAAAGCATAATACCTTATGACTTTATCAAACATTATCATTTGGATAAACAAAATACAAAATTGTTTACGTGAAATAGTCGAGGCAAAAAAATATTTAAATTATGCAGATTTATACATATTTTTAATAATACGGTTTTTTTAATTAGTTAATTATAGTTTTTAAAAATAAATGTTAAAGCATTGTTATTTTTGTTAGTAATCATAAAAAACTTTAAAAAAAATACATAATATAATTATTTCCCCAGGACTACATATGTACATAGGCGATGTCGCTTCGGATAATGCTAGAGTGATTTTACTCATGGAAAAGGTCTAGTTGCTAATTAAAATGTATTTAAATACGAATTAAATATATAGAGGTGCCACATAAATCGCTTTCCATTTCGCCCTGCCACAAATACTTAGGATAAAGATATGTATGCATACATAACACTTTTGAAACAAAATATTACTTTAATGACGAAAAACGTTAATCGATTAATGGGTTGATATGGGTTGTTAAGACAGTTTATGTGGACCTCTTTACAAACTGTTAAGTAAACCATTTTGAAGTAAGCGCTTGAAAGCTCCTAAAAATCAATCAAATCAATTGGCTAGCAAATAATTTCGACCAGTGTACTTGTACTAATAAATGTGTTTTCTATTAACAAAGAAAAGAAATAGAACTCAGAACTTTAGTTTTAGGTTTTGGGTTCAAAATATCCTCCTAATATAAATATGAAACCATTTTGAAAAGCAACAAACAACAAAAAAAGTTGTATATATTTTATTGGGGACAAAGTTGAAAAAAAGTTCTGCAAAATAAAATTGAAATTAATACGAAAAAATTAAATCCTTGATTAATAAGGTTTGCTGAAATGCTAATAAATTAATTACTCGTGGTTCTGTGGCCACGCGATCATTGGCTGTTTCCGATTTCACTAAGGATTTCTGTGACACCCCTAAAATATGGATCATTATTTTACAAACAAAACTCGCGAACAAGTTTCCAGTCAAAATAAATGCAGTCATATCGAAAGGATGACTTAAGAATAAGTTTGCAGAACAATGACCCATATTTATTTGGCAGTAAATAAATACAAAAGATAAAGACATCCTCACGGCAAAGGGTACTTACGATGGTAGCATTGGTGGGGGCAGAGCTCCTCCGGGACGACCGCCAGGTAGTGGTGGTGCACCACCTCCTGGGCGATTCGGAATCGCTGGAGCTGGGCGACCTGAAGCCGGTGGCAATGGTGGGTTCCGTCCACCCATGGTGCCCTGCAAGGCGAACGATTCGATATCAATGCACCATATATTAACGAAAATGCTTCGGCAAGTTTTACCTGTGCGGTAGGTGCTGGCTTACGGGGAGCACCCGGACTTGGAGGGGAGAGTCGTGGGTTATCCAGGCCACTGGGTAGCCAATCGTTTTTAACTGGAGGAGGCAATGGCTGGGACACAGTTGCCATAGATACGTCGCCTTAAAGCCATTCAAAAACGGTTAGACACGTGAATGCTAATACTAACTTGTTGACTATTGATATTTACCTATAATCTGCAATGCGTCCTTACAGGCGCGGTACATACGCAGCATTTCCTCTCGCCGGGTGGCCGACTCGGCTGACTCCTCCATCATCTGGGACTGTAACTCAAGAGTTAGTCATGCTGTATTTCAAGACTTTTGTTCTCCTATTTACCTGATCACCAGACGCGTAGAGATGTGCCAGAAGTTCTCCGTTGATAAAGTCCTTGGCATTGTTAATTATGAGCATCATAATTGCTTTGGGCACCATGTCGCGCGTGGTCTTTGTAACGATCTTCATATACGAGTCAACCAGGTTGCGAATGGTCTCCACCTGCCGCTCCAGCTGTGGATCGGTGGAACTCTCCTCACTGGCCGACTGTTGTTTGCGGAAATTCGTATTCGGTTTGGTATGGGGAATTGATAGTAATTTTATGGATTGTTGATAAATTTGTAAAGTGCAAAAATATTTAAAAAACATAAGAACTAACTAAATCGTGCATATAAAAACAAGGGAGAATGCTGTAGTCGAGTGTCCGACTGTTAGATACCCAACTACAAAATTAGGTGCATACTTTTTTTTTTAGTAAATGTTTAATAAATGTAAATGGTTAATAAATGAAAATTAAAAAAAAATAAGTAATGAGTGGATTTTCTGGGGCGAAGGGGTCATAGAAAAATGTTTAGCAAACTTCATCTAAACCACCATTGTTTTTAATATTTATATTACTAATTTTGGAGCTGAACTGTGCCAACTTTTAACATATCCTTCAAACTATATGGGCTTTTTTATATTGCAAAAAAAAACTAATACAGGATAGGGATACATTTTCACATTCCATTGTTGGAAAAATTAATTAAAATTAAAAGGAGTACCACAAAAATTCCTTTCGACTTCAATTTAAGCCCACTAACTTTTCAGGAAATATTTTTTTTATTTTTGCATCGGGATAATCGGCCATCTAAATAAGATTATCCTGTGTGCCATTTACTATTGAGTACAGTGTATTTCTGATTTGTACTTTGGATGTATCGATGTTTGGCAAATACTGTTTTAGGAACCACTGTTTTTGGATTTTCCGAACTCTTATTTGTAATATGATGAACAAATTTTTGAGTTCCATGCGTTTTAATATTTTAAATTTAAACTTTGAATTCAAATTTGTTAAATAAGTATTCAAATATAATAAAAATTAATTTTAAAGATCAAATTACATGCAAGAGTCGACCGTCAAAATTTAGTACAAAATAGAGGAGTGTTTCAGACAACCCTTTGTTTTAGCTTTACCAATTGGTATAACCTAAAGCCTCGTTAATAATTTTGAATTGGTTCCATCCTTTTTTTTTGCAGAATTTGCAGGATTAGGTTTATTGGAAAATAAAAACTAAAAGGATGTCGCCACCTTTTCGCCTCTGCTTCCTTAAATTTATGACGGGAAACCTTTAAATTTGTTAAAATTAAGAAATAACGTAATAGTCGAATCCCCCGACTATGAGATACCCGCTGCTTACTGCCCTTTAAGAAAACTTTAAAACTAACTTCACAAGAGACTGTTAGTTAACTCTTTTGGAGCACTTTTGGAACCCGAGATGATGATCATACGGACAAACAGACATGACATGATGGAAATTGCTTTACAGGGTCGTAGGAAATGCTTCCTCATACCCTTTAGATACTTTTTCATAAACACAGTTACGACTTTTACAATAGGAGAAGCGGCTATACTTTTATAAATATGTGTTGAAAAAAATTCAAACATTACTTAACTAAAAAAATTGAACATAAATGATTTAAATGAACATACTTGTTGCTAAAAACCAACCGGAAGAAATTATTAATTTAGTTTGTGTTTTTGGCGTTTTTTAGATTGGTCGTTTTGTTCGGTAGGAGGCGGAAAAATAGAAGAGAACAACATGTTCACAATCGTTAAGAAAAACAAGTAACAATGGAATAGTCGAGTTGACCGACTATGAGATAATCAGTAATTATTAGTTAGTTAAATAAACATGATGTACTAACTACAACAGGTTAAAGCATCGCAGAAACCGACAGACAACTTTCTTTCAATAAGTTTTTTGATTGCCTGCTTGGTTAATGGTAAAAAATATCACAGCCTTAGTATGTTATATCAAAATATGAATAAGTCATGTAGCAGAATTAACCGACGAATAGTCCCTTCAGAAAATGATTTTTGGATATCGGTCCGTGTAATATTTACTCGCAGTCGAGAAAAAGGTCGAATAATGATTTTTTAATACTGCACAATGTTTATTACAAACAAGTAGAATGTTTTTTTCTCGCACCAAATTGAAATCCGAATTTTGTGCGATTAAAATTTAAGTGCATTTTTCTTATGAGAACAAAATTTGAAATACTACTCGGGCTATGATATTATAGTTAATCGCAAGGTTTGTTGAATAATTTGAATGGTGTTATATTTTTTATTCGAATATTTTATATAAAATATAAATTTTTGTTTATGTGATGTTATATTTGAAATATCCTGAACCGATTAATGTAAAACAAAACCATTAGATATTAGTAGAGACGTAGGATTTTTTTTAAATTAAAATTTTGAAAAATATTGGTTTTTAGTTTTGTGAAATAAATTGTTATAAGCGACTTAAATACCTCAATTCTCTGTCTTTCAAAATAAAAATAAATATATTAAACAAAACATGTATAATTAATCAAAAGGATGTTCAAATAATTTATTAGTTGTTAGTATATAAATTCGCATAAGTTTATCCGAGTTTCCATAGATAAGTACGATAAAGCAAATGAAATCGTAGAAGTTACAAATATTAACAAACCTCTTGTCCTTCCTGGATGACGATTATAAAAAAAGCATCATTATTGCGATATATGTTGTGGATTTGGTCAATAGAATAGCAAAAACAAAGAAATATATATTTTTAAAAATTATTCTACATTGATTTTTAATTATTCGTTTATTAATAGTCTTAGTTGTAAATAATAAGACAATGCAACTGCTCTGACCAATTAAAAACACTCTTTTTGGACTGCAAACTTTAAAATTTGTATAAGACAGTCAGCCAAAAGAGTGAACTATTGATTTGTCTATTATTGGAGGCAATTTCTAAACTGTAGAAATAGCGTCGTTTTATATAGACTTTAATATCTGAATGGGAAGACATATCCATTGATTATTGGTTTTTATATACGCACCTCATCCCCGTTTTCCTGAGTCTCTTGCTTTTCGGGATAGACACCAGCTCGCAAAAAGGAAGCCTTCCACGACTCCACATCTTCCACCGTCTCGCAGGACAGCTCCAGTTGTTTGTAGTCCTAAAATACCGCGTGTTTAAAAGCGTTGAAGCAAAAACAGATAAAAAACAAAACAATTTATGATATAACATTTTAACAAACACTTGTTGTATTCAATAGATAATCAGAATAAAAAGTTTGTGATATTAATTTTGCTGTTTAGTTTTGTGTTTAGTTATGTTAGAGGAATGACGACTACCGATAACTTCAAGAAATACATTATTAACTCACAGAACCGCATATAAACCTATAAAGTGCTAATAGTTGTGTGAGCTTCTCAACAACGACGCATGGGGTTCAGCCTTCATTTCGATTGGAATGCTTAAAATAAATTATAACATTTTTCAAGAATTCGCGCTTGTTTTCTTAAATAAGTAATGAGTAAAACGATGTTGTTCATACGACTCCATAATGCAGAAAAACATATTTCAAAGATTATTTATAAAGGAATGCCAAAGTTTTTGGAATGGTTTTTGATCTATATTCTTACCTAGCCTATATAGTTCCCGATATGTGTTACTACGTACAGACACTCAGAGGGACAAATCAAACATATTCTGTTTTCTTGGGATAGAATTCACAGCCGAAGAAATATATTACTCTAATATTATGTGCATGTCAGTCTGCCCTAAAAGTTAGATAAAAGGGGTTGTACTTAATAATACATTTTTCTTTTAACTTGTGCCACAAACTTTTCAGTATTCCCAACATTTCTTTGGGCGGAATAGTGTTCCGTTAACATTTTTGTATCTGAGCTTTTGAAAAATTGAATTTTCTCTAAAGCAATTTTCATGAAGTATTTGGCAATGAAAATCATTCTCTGCGGATATGTTTATTATACACATTTCTCGTAGAGTAAAGAGTAGAAGTAGAAAGGTATTACGCGGTTCATAAGCTATACATATATGGTTACACAAAAAAAAAAACTGGTAACAAAACGTAGGCAGACAACGGACTTCTCTGCCTCTGTTTCAGGATGGTTCTGTGCATTTCTTTCTCTTCGTTCCTTGCTCGCTAATGCGCCGATCACGCCATATACAAGTACCCATTGTAGATTTCCCATTTCAAAAGTCATTGTCGATCAGTGTAGCCTAATAGCCCCATCTGCGCATCTGCTGTGGAATCGTTGACCGACTGTTTACGCTTATGCAGCAACAAATGATAACTATAACAAACATGAAAAGTTTAAGAAAAATTAATATTGTGTGGTGTCGCTCTTGTTGGCAATGGCGTCATATATTCGACTGGAAAGTGAAACATCCGGTTTGCAATATATTGTAAAGAAATTGAGCACAGAGCTAGCCTGATGTTTTCAATTAACAAACATCCGCACATGTTATCGTTTAATATTACATCTGGCCAATAAGTTGGACACTTAAGGACATCAATATTTTGCTTCGGAATCCAGGATTTCACAGTCCGTGAAAATGTAGGCTGAAAACGCGAATTCAAGCTTACAAACATGTTTTGAAATGTGCTGTTCGTCCAAGGTATCTTTAAAATTAGGGATTACTTTGGATTTGTTGGCTCAAAAATATGAAACTTTAAAAATAAAAGAAGTCTTATGAAACATTAAATATGTATCAAAGATAATAAAGATATTTAAAAACTTTGCTGCTGTACACAAAACAAGAAATTTTGAGGGGAAAAAAGAATTCCAAATTTAGTAGTAAAAATAAACGGGAAAGAAAGTTAGCGTCGTTATTAAAAAACGGGAGAGGAATTGTTATTCTCTTGTATTTATAGCAAATATGTATTAGTGCGTAATAAATTATCGTTCCCGTGACAGTCGCCACAGAAAAATAGCGTTTAAAATAGTTTTATGTGGTTAGCTTTTGCACTGAGCGAAAAAGAGCGTGGGAAATAGTCAAGTTTTTACAAATCTCAAGGAATCTGCTTAAATTCGAATAAGAAGCACATATTAGGCCAGGAAAGAAAATAAACGCAAACATCTTAAGAATCAACTAAGTTTAGCGAATTCTACAAGATGTAGGGAAATAAGTATGTGAAATTGTGGTTCGATACGCGGGAAACTTGATCTGCCTTCGCCTAAAGTAATTTCATGCTACAAGTTTTTCAACTAAGCGAATAAACACATAGAAAAAGGCAGTCCGACATGATTATATCGAAGAAATACATGCATTTTCAATACAACATCTTCTTATATGTTCCTTACAGGGGGGGTTTTAGGCCCCAAAAACCTTGGGTGTGTTTCCTTCACAGCGTTCTGCTTCAAATGTAACACTCGGCACAAGTGTAATCAATAGTATTGATTTAAAAGTTAAAGAATCGTCCTCAAGACTGGTTGCACTCTCTTAATAGTTTTTAACCAACTCTCAGAAGCATCTCAGAATAAGAAGAGCTACAAAGATTGTCCTTTTGGAAACCTTGAATGGAGTAGATAAGCCAAGCAAAATAAAATCTACCATCTTAAATGTCTCTACCAACTGACATGAGGTAAACAATATGAAATTGAAATGGAAACAGATAGAGAGGAAAGTATTTGTTCGTACCCATAATGCAGTACACCTTTCCGAAAAAAACTGTAAACTGTAAACTGTTTGACAATCCAATTGGATTCCTCATCTTAACAGGACAGGTTATGGAAAACTGCGTAAGAAATGTACAATTTCATTAAGAAGCTGGATAAAGGAAAGGAGAAGCTGTATTGCTTGAATGCGTTACACCCAGAGAACTACAAAATGTGTCAAAGCAATACATTGCCCACGTAATAGGATGTGTGACCTAAATGAAATGGGTCATGCTCATTTTTTAGGTCATTATTCCTAAAATATAGGTCATTTAGTTTTGTGGATTTTCTCTGAGTATATTATTTATCCTGTTAACAAGCAAAAATGGAACTCGAAAACCGTTATTAGTTATTGAGATTTCAGACAAATTCACTATATTCTATCAGAAAGCTATAACAATAACGACTTTCGAACGAATTTAATGTAAACTGTGGTGTGCGTTGCGAAACCTTTAGAAAGTTTCTAGACAATTCAATTATCTTACGAATGCTTTGAAGTGTATAAACCTTATATACAATTAATTGATTAAATAATGGTGTATGACTACTATTGGCGCGATTCATTATGTATCAAAAATTGTCGTGAACTTCTCAAGCTTATCAAGCATCACAAAATAAAAAGGCAAAAGGAGTTTACGACGTAGCAAACTCCTTGGCCTTTATTTGACTTAAATGTTGATAAAAACATAGTAATTTTTATATTATACAAAAAAATAATTAATTGATCTCTTGCCCTATTTAACCAAAGGATTCAAATTGGGGTATACAATGAAATTTGAATTATTTTCAAAAGTATATCAAAAATTGCTTTTGTTGTTTGTTTAGTTATTTTGATTTAAAGTTTTTCTCTGGTTTTGTTTCTGAAATCATTTAAAATTCATTTTTTTGTATGTTAACAAAAATTACTAACCTTATAAACATTACGTCCATCGGGACTAAATAAAGCAAATGTAACACGTCTAGACATTGACATAAATCCCTGTTCAATATCACGCAATTTTAAACCATCCAACGGCAGCATAAATTTCTTTTCTTTCTCATCCTCGTCCTTATACCAGGAGATACTCTCGGATGTTAACACAAACCAATAGGGACGTGATCCACCTGCAAAACACATTTAAAAGTCAATGAATGCCCAAGGAAATTAACACGAAGTAAAAAAGGTATAAGTGAATTATATGGGTAACTATGGGTATTTGCAAAATCATATTTCTATCCCCCTTAACTATGAAGTTAAATGGCTATATTCTGGGGTGCCATAGAGTTTTGCGAATCCGCGGATAATATGTGTTCCCTATCCTGTATCCTATCCTAAATCTTGTAGAATGTTATACATACCTTTCATGATACCAAGGTTTTGTATGACCATGTGACCCTTACGAATAACTTGGTTGCCAAGCTGACGAGTTCCAGTTTTATTGGCGTTTTCAGATTTATTTTGAGCGCTTTAACAAAAAAAAGAAACAAAATCAGTTTATAAATAAATTTCAGGATGGCAATAGTTTTAATACACACTTGGCGAAACCAATAAAATCCTCATGATTGGTATTCATGTAAGCCAGCTCAAAATCAATAAGCAAAAGAATTTGTTCCTTGCAACTGTGCTCACGTTGGCGAACATGTGTTGTGATAATACGTTCTGTTTCCTCACGCAAACGTGGGTATCGACTCATCTAGAGTAAATGATAGGTGATTATTGAATATGGTTATGCTTTAATTTAAAGTAAATTAGTTAACTTACTTTAGCTGTGCACATGCGCACAACCACAGAAAGTTCCTGTACGACTAGATCGACACACTTTATTACCGGCTCCTTAAGCAACGCAATTTGTCTTTTGACAATTGCCTCAAACGCCATATCGGGTGTGAAGAGGCCGACGCGAATACCGTGAATGTTTCGAATAGCAAATGAGATCTCTCGTCGTAATTCCTTTTCATCGCAAGCCATCTTTACTATCTCAAAGCGTAGTCTATAACGGAATCAAGCATCATGTTATATTATGACAGCGTTAAGTTTTAGTGTAACTTACCGCTCATGAAAAATGCGATTAATCTTGGCGCCACCTGAGAGCTCATTTGTATTGACCAAAGCTGAGCCACTGCCTTCAATTGTTCGCTCGAAGTCAGATTGCAGCTGCTGAATCATTCTGTGTGGAGTAAATGTTGTATGTTTTATCTAATAGATGTAAGATCAAATTGTTATACACTTACTGGAGCATAGCTTTTGTTTTAATGCTGGCATCGCCGGGCTGAAAGTGTTTGAACTCTTCAACCTCCTTCTCCAAGGTAAGCATCTGCTTTTGCAACTTGTCTCGCAAGCCAGGTAACGTGTCCCGTATATGGTTAGTAAGTTGTTGGTTAAGCACCCTTTGCAAATAGGGAGTTCCAAGACGATCGGCCATATGACGGTAGGAAGGATGACTTAAAAAGAACTTGCGCTCGGCCGCTAGAGCCTGGTGGATATCCTTGCGTCCTTCTATATCTTTCTGTGATCTATTCACAACGCCAATATATCCTCGGCGTAGAGGAAGCAGCTTGTTCTCGAGAATGTCACGTGCATCAGTGCCCTCGTCCATAAGATCAAGCTTTGTTATTACTCCGATGGTGCGCACACCCTGTGGATCCACCTCCTTTGCCAACTTAAGCGCATCCGAGTTAGCCAGATCAGTATTGGCCGGGGTCACAGCCAGAATTAAGCAAGTCTCTTTGCGAATAAATTGGAATATCATCTGCTTAATTTGCTGTTCAATATCTACTGGTTGATCACCAATTGCCACTTTTGTTAAGCCTGGTAAATCAATCAGAGTAAGATTGAGAACATGCGGCGAGTACACGCGCAAATTAATTGGAATGTTTGAAATGCCTTTGTTACTTCCGGTCACACGATCCGTTTCATCTTCGATCTCTTTTCTGATCTCATCAAAGCTTGTAAACTTTTTGCCTTTACAGTGAAGGAACTCTCCATGCTCTGAAGACAAATTTAAATTGAGCAATGTAAAAGAATGAAAACAGCTATATGTATGTTCAACTTACCGGTAACTCCATTGATCAGCTGCAATATTAAAGGTCTACGGGTCACAATGCCAGAGCCTCGAGGCAAGAAATCTCTGCAAAAAATTAAAAAAATTATTAAAAGACTATTTTATTCAGAACCTAAGCGAATTAAAAACGTTAATTAACGCTTGAGATTAAAACAAGAAGTCAAAATACTTTGTTTTTTAAAATTTGTGTTGTACATGTTGAAAGTAAAACAAAATTCTGAATAAATTTAAACTTTGCATAAGAAGTACGTTAAAAAACACTGCGATTGGTTTGGAACAGTGACAATAAGACAAATTGAATGATCTGGCCCTTACTGTTTTAAGATTTTAAGAGAGATTTTAAACTTTGCGGTACTGTGACGCATTAGGAGCTGTCGAAATAAGCTTTCGAAAAACGTTTTTTTAAACCTATGAAGCAGTCAATGAGTTTATTAAAAAGGTATTTAAGATTTTATCCTAAGAAATGGTCAATATTATATTTAAATTAAAATCACTTGCAACTAAAAACTGACACATAAATTTTTTGTTCAAATTTGTTTTTAAATTTTATAAATAAAAATTCTAATCTCAAATGACGGTTGTTTCAAAAATATCAAATACCGATTTATTTCGATTCATATGAATAATAATCTCAAATAACGATTATTCCCAAGTTTTAGGGGAACTACAGAAACTGCAAAGGTTTGTCTTCTATATCCTGTTGCTATTATATAGCCAATATAGAGCTAAAGTTCGAGATAAAAATAACTTTGGCTTACCGAAGTTGGCTTCCTCTCTCTTCTCGGTTTGATTGCTCTATATGTAATATAGGAAACCACCCTAATTGACAGACATACACACATACATGTGTACCACACGGCGCATGCGAAATCTATCTGGACTATTTTGAACATAGTGAGCTTATGTAAGCACAATGGTTTAATGCAGTTTGTAAATACATATCAATGGGTATATTTATTGCCGTATATTCGGAAAATCAAATGTACATGAGCTATTCACAAAGCCTGTAATATGTATGCGGTTTCTTTGCATTGAAATTAAAAGTTTACATCAAGTAAACCTAAACCCATGTGGCATTTCCAAAATTTAACGAATCGGTTACTAATCAAGACAGGAAAGTGTGCAGCAACAGAAACTTCAATGGTTGCGTGCAATCAATTTCCTTATCTATATAAGGGCGTAAGCCATTGTTTTCATTATGTTTGTATTTAGAGTGGACACTCACTAACAAAGAAAAATGAGAGACAGCGCAGGCATATAGATACAAATGAGAGCTGCGACACAAGTGACGGTCGTATTGATACATACATTTTAGATTTTTGTTAACAATTTTGATTTTGGCTTAATTCGCGTTTTGTTCATATTTGACCTTTGATTAAATATCTGGCGTGTACTCAAGATAGATACATTTTTCTTATCAGCATAATTAGGTTAACGCCACTGATAATAAATATTTGGCCATTACTCACCACCCACTATGTGCACCTGTTTTGAATCCAACGATTATTGATTGTTAGGTTCTTATCAATAAACAAAAATACCCCTAAACATATTCCTAGGAACATATGTAATATTTGACTTTTTTTAAGAAATGTCCTGGATAAAAATAATAAATTCTAAAGTTAACGTACAAAGTTTAACGACCAGAGAATGTTGCACGCAGAAAAATCGATTTGCTGCAGCCAAGATGGTACACCAACAAAAATCTTATCACTTATACTCACTTGCCAACGAAGTTTTCCAAAACAGAACTTTTGCCAGCTGACTGACCGCCGACCACCGCGATCTGCGGCAGATCCAATTGCATATGCACGCCAAGCGATGTGAAGGCATCTTGCAGCTTATTTACAATCGTTATAAGGTTGTCCATTTTCACAATTAGATTAGATTAGGTTTAGATCGAACTGCGCGACGGACGTCTGTTCCAGCCTCGTCCAGGTGTCTTGTGTTCTAATATCTCCGTTTCCTGCACCGCGCACTTCTGTAATTACTGTATTATTGTTAACAAATTAAAACTTATTATCTACAATGAGAATTTCGTTCTTTTCTCGACTCCTTTCACTCTGACACTTTCATTTTCGTTTAACGTCAATAATCACAGTTTGCAATTAAGATAAAAAAAAATACTGCGTAAGCCGTGGGCAGTTGCTCATCCGATACCTCGGTTCACATGCAGTTACTCATTCTCCCACAGGTAATCACGATTACTACTACAAAAACCTTTTATGCTGGGTGTAATGAAACTAATACAATTCGCCACCAGCGACAAGCAAGCAAAGGTTGTTGTTGGGTCACTAGCAAAAATGTTTATCGACATTTACACAAAAAGAATTTATGTATGTACATATACTCCGCAAATTTGAAAAGAGCCAAAGAAAATTGTTATCGACTTTTCAATGGTCATTTCTTTTTTTCGGGCGTAACAGTGCAAGTGTAAATGTTATGTTTATCGCCCAAAACGCACAACAAAATGAACAATTGCGTTCAGACAATAAGCAAATATTTATTTTTTTGTTTGGCTTTTTTTTCTTATCTTTCTTTTTGAGCAAACAGAATACTATCACCAACACTCTTCGCTTCCAAGTCGTACAATGGATTTATTTTAGAGAACAACTAAAACTAGAGATGCAAAAAAACCATCATAATCTGTACCCGATAAGCTGCGTATGATTTTTGGTATAATTGATAGGGCTGGGTGAATCACCACCGATATCGACATATCAAATATTCGCATAGGCGAATAACTATCGATGTTTGGGTTTCGATGATAATCGATAGGTGTCAGAACCCGTTTACACTGGAGATGCGCCCAAGAGTTTTTTAAATTTAATATTTATTTTTAAGCTTGGCCCCTAGAAATAGAGGTATCAAAAACGAACGTATTTGTTGAGTCTGGAACTCAGGTGCTTTTTATGTTTTCTTCGGTCATTTGTTTAACTATCGGTTGGCCAATTTATTTATTATATCACTAATATTAACAGAAAACAACAATTTATAAATAAGGTTTGAGAACACGTATTATAACTAAAATATTTTCCAACGATATCAACTGTTTAGATTGTCAACTAAAATATCGAAGCTTCGATAATATTTTGCATTCGCATGCAAATAAAAGCCAATTGGAAAAATGTTTGCTAAACAAGTGTATTGACATAAAGGTGTACTATTTTCGGCTTCAAAGTCATGCGATAAAAGGTTACATATAAAAAATGCCCTATGAATTGTTTGAAAAAATATTTATGCCACGTAATTTTCAGCCGGGCTTCAGATTTAACGTTTTAATCCCAACTCGATATCGCTTATCCTATTTACATTCTCGTTATTGAACTTTCAATTTCCAATTGACTTTTCGCACCTGCTTGCCCACTTTGATACATTATAACTATTTTTGGTTTGTATCTTATTAAACAAGAATAATTTTAATGAATTAAAAATTTATTTAATATAAGAAAATTACAATAACTTATGATTTTCATTTGAAATGGTTTGCCTGGAAGATATCGATAGCTGTCTCGCTGCAGAATGCCGGCCATAAGCATAGAAACTTAGTGATGGGGCAGGCCAAATGTATCGTTTTCATTGTTCAATTACGATAGTAAAATGTTTTCCCTGTTGACCAAAAATATTTAAAAGATCTTAAGCCCGATCGCCTTATTTTGAGTAAAATAAAATAAGCCTTGAATTTTTTAAAATAAAATTTTAATTTAATTTGAAACTAAGAGTCTATCTTCGAAACGTGTTGCTTATGATGAGCCCAGGCCTCTTTGAACTTGCGCATCTTGCTGTGGATCTTATCCATAGCTAAGCTTTGGTTAAAATTTAAGAAATCCTGTCGCATCTCCGGCCATTCAATAACATCTGTTGCCGCAGAGCAACTCGCTGTATCAATTTCTTTTGGTTCTGTATAGCTATTTGGACTAGAGTATTTATACTGATCGATCTTTGATAGCACTTCCTGGACATGATATAGACCGCTGCTCGTTTTGTCATGGACAAATTTTATCCGGGGAACTTCGCCCATTAGATGGAGCTGTGAAAGCTCATGCTGCAGTTGACCGCTCAAACGATTCAGCTTATCTTCGAGCTCCTCGTTTCCCCGTCCATCCTTGCCAAGCCAATACACATTGATTCGTGTAAAGTCGCTTGTGATCCTCACATATGATATCTGCACCCCTTGACCGACGATTGAATCGGCAACAGCACCGTTTGCCAAAATATCGGTTATGTTTGTCATGAACACCTTATTCAGAACGGACATGCGGCGATGATTGCCGGGAGTGGAGTTCGAATGTGGTGTTCCGAATTTCAGGGCGTGATTCGATTTTTGAAGGCCGGAGCTGCTTGGAGAATTAGCATCTTGGGATGGGTACCACCGGCTATTACTGCCCTTTAGCCGATTTCCGAACAACGAGCTAAATATTTTGCCCTGACGCACTACGTTGTCCTTCTTCGTCTTTGTGCTTTTATTCCGTAAAAGCGCCTGGTGGCACACATTATTGAATCCAGAGTTGCCAGCTTGTAACCTCAAAACACGGATGCCTAGCATTTAGTCCAATTGCATGAATTTTATTTCCTAGATTATTTAAATAGAGTGTGACCTTCGCTTGATCGTTGCAGAATACCATAGAACTGGAAGAAACATCAATGTAATACCGTATTCCCACAGAGACACATGCTGCATCCGTTTGCGGAATGGTCTAAAATCGTTCCCCGTGGCCCACCACGGTTCTATTTCTAGTCCATATTTAGAAGTGCATTCCTAAATTCTTAATATTCACAATGAAAATTAGATAAAATACAAAAAGGGCTGTTTTCTCAAGCTCATGGAAAGAAAAAAGTAGGTTTTAGGCTGTCAAATTCCATACGATGTCTCAGCTTAAAAACTACTTATAGATTTTAAAGGGAACAATAAACGGACCTTAAAATAACAACTTAATATTCTGTTCATTTAAACAAATTTATGATTTTGATTTTACGAGAAGGCAAAAGCAGATGAGGCAAAAATAGGAAGCCGCAAATGTTATTATTATATGAAATCTTCAATAACTAAAAACTTGCCTTATAATAATTAACGCTAGCTTAAGTAGTCATTGTAAAAGTTACAAAAACCATGGATTAAAATAGTGGGCATTCGGGACAAAGCTGATCGTCAGGAGACTGTGTATAAAATTAAAAAAAAAAGAAAAAAAAATGTAAAAATAAATATTTTTAAAACAGTACGGTAGAATTGATTTAATGTTGGAAATAGTTACTAGTAATGCAGATGGTGTGTGTACAGCATGGCGCCGATGGGCTGTAATTCCATATTTTATTGTTTGATGATTGTGCTCAGTGGAAATCTAGTTTCATTTTTCTAAGAAATCCCACTGTTCCTTTAAAATATTTTCAGTGGGAATAGGACATTATATTCACATTGGCCGTTGACATCATGCAACCATCGCTACTTTCGATTACTTTTCAGTAATGAAAGACCTTTAACCTACTAAAATCATTGTCACAATTTTCATTGGTAGTTCGCAAATTTGTAAATACTGCAAGTTCCAAAAGGTCAGTATTTCTAAGCAATAATTATCATTCGTTTATTGAATCATTCATGTGTAGAAAGATTTAAATATATGAATATGAAAGTAAACGTTTTAACAAGAGACGGATAAAAGGTAAGCCGATAAAATGTACATTGCAGTCAAATATATGTATACATACATATATATTTTGGTTCATTACTGATGCGTTTATATTTACCTTCTTTTTGGATACCAACCAAATGCGAATACATACATTTATATACATATGCATGTATAAATGATCATGTACTTACGGAAAAATGCACGTTCTTCAAATGATGATGAAAAAGCGTAGATTGATGTGTAATAATATATTAAAAAGCGTATAACATCACACGGAGATAACAAATTTCCCAACAAGATGGAATCCAAAACAGATCAGACACAAAATTCCGTCTATGACAAGGAAACTGAAAATATTATTAACAACGATGATTCTACATTTCTGGCGAATATACTGCGTGAAATTTTGTATAGTCCAATGAACTTGGCCCTATTAGCAATAATATGTTTCTTGGTCTATAAAATTGTTCGGGATCGCACCGAAGTACCATCTGTAGGCGTTGTGAAACCATTTGAAACAGGACTACCCAAAATACGCCGCGATTTCACTGTAAAGGAGCTGCGCCAGTACGATGGAAATCAACCTGATGGTCGGGTTTTGGTCGCCGTCAATGGGAGTGTTTACGACGTTAGCAAAGGACGACGATTCTACGGGCCAGGTGAGTTTAATTCAACACAAAAACAAAGTAAATTGGTGGTCAGTTCCAGAAATATATTCCAACCGAATTCGGTTGGAACCCAACCATACATTCATTTAAAATTCAACCGAATTTGTTTGTACAAGATTTCTGTGACAGTCCCTTATAAATAAACATTTATTGAAACGAGGCAAGTCAACTACGGCAAGCAGAAGTAAACATATACTTTCAGTAAAATTGAAAACTTATTGCAGAAATTGTATAATTAAGATCTATAAAATAAAAGAATACTAAACGGCAAATTTGTAAGCATATGAACCTATCTTAAAAGACAATCAAATTGGCTAAAATCCTTGCAAATTCTATATTCTCGGCTGATCATGATCAATTTTAAAACTTCATTTGCGAAATCAGTAGCTCCCAAGTCTATATCAAATCGCCTCGTAATGGTGATTAATAATATATTTATATAAATTCTAGGGGCCTAATTGGCTTCTTATCTTCTTAAAAATTGTTGACATTCCTTATAAAACCCCCTGCAAGGGTACAAAAATGTCTTTTGACCAATACGTTGCAGTTTTTCCACAACTTTATGTATTAAAACCAATGAGTGCGAGCAAGATGCAGGTTACCTGTGACGTAGGTGCGCAGAAAGAGCCTAAAGTTGCGCACTTGATTGTGCTATCGTGGTCATGATGAGTGCGCGACATGAGCCTTATCAATGAAGTAATTTCTTGCTTGTTTTCCAGGTGGTCCCTATGCTACATTCGCGGGAAGAGATGCATCCCGCAATTTGGCAACATTTAGCGTGGATTCAAATGATAAAGATGAATACGACGACTTGAGCGACTTGAGCGCCGTAGAAATGGATTCTGTTAAGGAATGGGAGATGCAATTCAAGGGTAAATAAATCCTATTTTTACCCTTATCAATACACAGCTAATAACGTTCTTATTATTACTTAGAAAAATATGAACTGGTTGGCAAGCTTCTGCGTAGGGGCGAACAACCGACAAATTATGACGATGACGAGGACGATGAGAATGTTAACAGTGATGAAACCACTGGAACAAACGAACAAACCAATAGCTCGCGAAAACGTCTACCCAAGTCGAAAACTGAGACTGATGAAAGAATTCAAGAAAGTCACGTTCTGCAAGGCAACAATGCAACCATAAACAACGCACAAGATGAACCAACTTCTACTGATTGTTAGCAAATCCCGGTTTTTTGTTTTGCTTTTGGATGTGGCTGTAATAGTTTATTTTCGGTTAGATACACAACAAAACTAAATAGCATTTCCGACTCTTTTGATTCTGCCTCTGCTCCTCTGAAACTGAGAACAAGACCTATTTGGAAAACATTTAAAGAAAACATCCTAATTTGAGCCAAACAAACAAGGCTTTAAATTTATTATGAACATTTGAAATGAATTTAAAAAGATACGAAAGATACGTTTTTTTGATGTTATTCTTAGAGTGCAGCCTTGACAAAGCTATAGTTGTTACTATATTTCACGTTGTGATGTGATCTTGTTCCATATATTATAGTAGTATATTCATAAACATGTAACGGAAATCGTAAAATTAATTAAGGAGGAGGCCAATGTGTGTGGGTATGGGAGTCATTTTCGTGGCAATATAAATTTAAATGTAACTATATTTGAAATACAAATTAAATACTAAAAAGTCTCAATTTTTTGGATCGGGGAATAAGGGATATTAAATTAAATGCACAGGGTGCTTTTTAATCTCTGTGCTCCACCTTGCAAGAGTACAGTGTGCTGTTAAGCGCTCAATAACTGTTAAACAAATATATTTTATTTGAAAAACAAAGGCATATCTATCTTGGCATATCCAGCGCTCTTTTCATATCGTTCGTTACAGGGCAATCGTTTTTTCTAGTCTTTTATTAATTGTCAACTCTAACCATTAAATTGGTTTTTTGACCAGACCTCTTTTGCTTAAAATATTTTTTTTGATAAAAATCCTTAAAAATTTTAAAAACATAGAATCTGTCACAAATTTAGACCTAACTATTTGTAATCAGGACCATAAAACCCCAGAGCTTTAAATAACCATCAACCGATTTTTCCAGTATTTTTAAAATATTAAAAACGGATGTCGGGGCTTTCGTGAGTGCAAGTGTGACCATGCTAATTTTTGTTCTCAAGCTAAAAAGATATCGGCTTCAATAAATAAGAAAAGCAATCTAAATTGACAGCGTTATTGTTCTCTGAAAATAAACGTCTAATACGTACACATTTTCATATAAAAATATAACTTTATAAAGCAACATATACATTTATATCGGAACCTTTTCATTTGCGATACTATTCGATTATTTGTCAAATTTTAAAGGTTTCTGGCCAATTTCAAAAACAACTAAAAAATCAGTCTATGTTAACAAGGACTTGCAGTTGGCATAATAAATCATCTTTGTGGCAGTATTTTATTAATTAGGCTTAAGGAAAGGAACGAAAATTCCAGTCGTTCCTGGAGAAGTTTTTGTGCAATTTTCGGTATAGCTCCGTTCCAACTAGAGCAATAACCACGCCATCTGGTAGATTGACAGTTCTAATATTGCCAGAAAAAAACATGCTGTTTTTATCACTTTTTTGCAAAGCACAGTCAGGCGCAATTTTTACTTTCAAAACGAAGAAAAGAAACTCTGGCTCAAGCAACACGTAAGGTTTTCGCTGGATAACTTGTCCAACATTTAGATAAGCCAATGGCCTTAAAAACAAAATCTGATCTTATATCAAATACAGTTTATTCGAGCAGTTGGCGTGTTCCTAGCAGCAAGCGCACTTGCATAATTTTCGATTCGTAATGAAAGAGCCTCAATTTGTTGAAATCGCAAGGAGAACTGAAAACCGGAGCAATACGATTATTTTATGGTATGTTTGGCAAAAACGCAAATATTTTCGAAAACTTTATATGCTAAGTAAATACATTTATTTGATATTTCGCTTCTTGGGGCAGCCTTGACCAGCATACATTTTTTTAATTCTAGGTGTTGTATTTTATTATATTTCAGACAGAAATCATGACGAAAAGCATCTGTTAGCTTAACGGAATAACGCGGTTTTGGTAAGTGTTGGATTTTTTCCCACAATTTAGCTTTTGCAATCGATGGGAAAACGTGAACCGTGAAGACACAATAACGCGACTGCAGTGGAAGCCCGTTTCGATAGTTCTTAACAGTGTTATCCCCTTGAAAATGATTTTCAGAAGTTATCGAAAAAATTGTCCGTCTCTGAGAGACTATGTGTTGGTTCTTTGTGGTTAACAATTTTTCGGAAAATAATATTGGATTTTATGTAAAATATACATAATAGGCGTGATGACAGTTAGTCTTAAACAGATGCATATTCAGTCTTGATTGCCGATTGCCTGTGTGGAAACTGTTACGCGTAGTTATGTGTGGAAAATGTACGAGCAATCGCACACAACCCACAAAAATTCGTCGTCTTTTGTATGTACGTGCTGTGTACTGCTGCTAACGACGCTGCGCTGTCTGTTACTGAGTACACAACATGTAGGGACGACACTATGTCGACGGAAAGGCAATCGCAATTAGAAAAGTGTAAGCGAGATGACTATTGCTGCTCTGCTAGAGACATTGTGCACAGCACACAGCACAGCACAGCCTCATACATATACAATGCTAACTAGCGCGCGAGCGCTCTCGCCGTTGCGGCAACGACATTGTCAACTATAGACGACAGAAGCATAGAGAAAAAAACCGAACCGAACAGAAGTACCTCCCATCTGCGTATATCGTATGTGAATATATATGTATGTACATACGACGATTTATATGCACGTATAAATGGGCATATATGTGTGTGCATATATATTTGAAGAAGAGTATATGACGAATGATGAAGTGCTAGACAAAATAAATATGGACTATTTTCGGTGAATTCTCAAATCGGCGTTTTTTTTATGTGTTTCTTTCTGTTTTGTGTAATTCTGCTGACCTGAAAAGTGTGTGCTGTTTGTTAAAAAGTGTGCAGAATTAAATATTATGTGTGTGTGTACAGAAAAAGCGCAACTAATTGGAATAGGGAAGTTTGCTTAAACATGTAATTTAATTTTAAATATTTTTTGCGACTTGGCGACTTAAATTAATCGACATGCTAAACTGAGGTGACGACCACCGGTGCGAAAATACAAAAAAAAAAACCAAAGTTGAGCAGTGCACGGGTCACAAAATAACAATAACTTCAAAACAGTCGGCGCAGCATCGATTTTTTCAAAATACACGCGATTGAATTGAATGGTTGGCCAAAAAGGTGCACCAGCCCAATATCCAATACCGACTACCCAATACCGAATACCAATATTTGAAAGCTTTCGCCTTATCGCTGGTCTAGAGCCCCAAGAGCAGAGCCGAATGCATTGGAAAAGGTTTGGTCCAGATGACATTGCCGTGGCTAACCCGAATATACATAATAATGGTCATCGATACTTTGTATTCCCAAGGAACTGAAGCTGAAGCTGGTGCACTGGTGTAATTCATTGGAAGCCCACACGCAGAAGAAATGGACACATCAAATGCCAGCAGCGCTAAATCAAAGACGTCTGCGTCGGCCAGCAGCAGTAGTATCAATGGATTAGGATTAGGACCACAAAACAAGCATATATTGTCGCAGGACATCTCCTCGGTGAACGTGAACGTTGCTGCGCAGGATGAGAAGAACGAGACCCCGCTGTCAGCGGCAGCAGCCACAGTCCTGACGGTAGTCGGCCAGACCATGGCCAAGAGCACTGCTCCGCTGGCGGTGCTGCACCTTCCTCCGCCGACGGCCACCGCCTTAGTCCAAGCAAGTGCCAACATCTCTGAATTGGGCTCCATGCCGCGAGCACGGCCATCATTCGTATCAAATACCTCAACAACGGAAGGGAAACCCATGGCCGTGGCGTCCATGCCCTCGGAGTCGGCCTCCTCGTCGGAGCCATCCTGTCCGGTCGCCGTATCGATGGCTCCCAGTGCCTGCGACTTTGATTCCGACACGGAACTCTCGATTGTGGCCGCCGCCGCGGCGGTCTCGGCCGCAGCCGGCATAGATTCGAGGTCCCCCACATCTCCTCCGCCCTCGGCGGCGTCAACGATAATGCCCGCACTGGGATCTGGAGGTGGAGGCACTGCAGCATCACTCTCGACCATGGCCGGGAGTCAAGGCGGATTTGGAGCAGGATCAGGCGTAGTGGCTGGCAACACGAACGGCCACAGCACATCCAGCAGCAGCACTCACCTTAGTTTAAATGCCAAGCAACAGCGCCAGCAGAAACGTCGGCGGGAACGTGCCCAGCGTTTGCAAGCGGAACGCGACAGCCGATGTAATTCCAGTTCGCTGAGTGGCACATTCATCGCCGGATCCGTGGGGGTCAGTGCTATAAGTGCTGCCAATGTGAATGCAGCCGGAGGTCAGGGAAGCCTCGTTACGCCCAACGGCGGGAACTCATCGGTGGCGATCGGGAACGGATCGGTGGCAGGACCTGGCAATGGCATGATTTATCATATTAATAGCGCTGGCAGCATGGGCGAGGACAGTAACAACTCGAATGGAAACTTTACCAGCAGCAGCAATGGCAGCAACAATCTTCTGCCCCCTACAGATAGTATTGCATCGTTACTCCTAAATCCACCACATTCCCCTGAGTGCAACTCGGGACTAATGGCCACGCCTAGTGATAGCGAAGGAGAGTCGCTGGATGAGGATCTTCTGTCGACCTCGTCTTCGTCAACACTACTTTTGCCACGCGATAAGCCACCGCCTCGACCACCACCTCCAGTTCGAAGAAAGTTGCCCCGATCTCCAGTACTCGAAGAGGAAATCATCGATGGATTTGCTATATTGGAATTCAAGACATACGAAGATCTTGAGGTATGTTTTTCCTGTAATTTGATTCGTGTTCAATAATCTCCAGCACATTTAATATCTTCCCCAATAATAGTTTGCCATCAAATTGGGACAAAAACGTAAGGAAAAGCGCCTTTCTGCATTGGACGAGCTAACTTGTACCTACAGTATAGAGGAAATGAAAATCCCAAAGGTTATCGATACTGGTCAATCCCAACCTTTGCGTGTCACAAACCTGTCCACTTTGACTGTTAACAACAACAACCTAAAGGAAAATCCGCACCCGCACCCGCAGCCTCTTCACCGTGGCGGCAATGTCATCAGCAACAACAACATCACAAGCAATGGCCCAAGTGCAAACAGCAATAACAACAGCAGCATAACTAACGTAGTGTATCTGTTGCCATCTGTGAACATTGGTACGGTTTTGGAGACGGAAACTGAACCTAGGGATCATTGGCGATCTGAATATGGGCAGCAGCAAGACCAATTGCAATCTGACAATAGCGCAAACAGTAAAAGTAATATCATTAGTGATGATAATCAAATTAACAATAGTAGTCACCAAATAAATCACTCCAACCAATCAAACAAACAAGCGGAAGGTGGTTGCAATGCAGCAAAAATGCAAGTAAACAGTGCTACCAGTACAAGATTTTTGGAGAACGATAACGATTCACTTATGTTGGATATAAGCCAGCCATCGCTGGGCGTTGGTGGGGCCGTATCGCATAGTCATGACCATATTGACGTGGGTATGATACACACCAGTTGTACTGGCAGCGACACCAAAAAATCTCACAATTCCCCCGCCACAAGTAACACTATTGACCAATTGCATGTGACAAAATCGCTGCCCTCACTCCAGCTCAATAATTTAATATCAAGTGATCTTACCGCAACTGCAAACGCAAACAATAACCACCTGGGTGTATGCAAGCTTGGATCGCAATCAGCACAGGTCGTAAAGGTGAGTCCTAAAGTGTTTTATCAAACGCTGTTCCCTAACAATTATTTTTAATCGTTAGAAATCGAACGGGTTGGAGAACATCGAAACCGTCACGACATCCGCAACCTGCCGCTCTCTGGAAATTCAGGAATTACCTAATGTTCCAGCGCAAGCCTTTGGGGCCAGTAGCAGCATAAAAAAGGAAAACGAGCAAAGTGATCTTTTAAATGACGTAAGCTTAATTACTTGCAATTAAATATATTAAATACTAACAATGATCCTTAACGCCCAGGCTTCAATCAATTGTACCAGCACCAGCAAAGGAAATAATATCGTAAGTATATAGTATATGCTGAAACTAATAAAGTTCTAACTATAATTCTTTTTATAGTGTGATAATGTCAGCAATGATAAAAAGGTATGTTTTCAGTTCCAATATTTATTGTTTCTTTTAAACACTCCAATTCGGAAATGTATTTGCACTTCCGGTCGGAATCTTTGTAACCCTCAGTAGCTGCACTGTTACCTCCCGGAAAAAAACGTTCGGAAGCTTTATATCTTTGTATTCGCCTTACTTTTTGATATTTTGTAAAGTTCTTCACGTTGTTGCGTTACCAAATTTTAAATTAATAACTTGCTTGATTTATAAACAATAGTTTTCCTTAGAATCAGTTCGATTCTAACTTTTTGCATATATATTTATTACCGATTAAATTAAGCGAAAACAGAAAATTTGATAATTAGAGAATCTTTTTGGTTTTAACAGAGTTAGTTTTCATTGATAACAAGAACAATGAGAAAACAAAAATGTTGCCTACTCCTAGGCGAAATATATGCAAAAATAATAATCAACTTTCTTTAAAATTTTGGCAATTGGTAGATATTTTTAATACTTGGTTATTGAGACCAGAAACATTTATTTACCATACAAAATTAGAACGCCACTGAATTTTGTAAATCGTGGGGCATTTTAAAAGGATTAAAACAAATCAACAAGTTTTATGTGGCATACTTTTTGAATAACATTTTATATTATTTTTACACGAGTTTGAACTTAATAATCCCCCCGTGGATAATAATCCCCCTATGGATCCGCGCACGTGGTATATACATTTGTTATCAGTATTAACAGTAGAGTCATTATAGTCGCGTCCGCCTGTCCGTTTGTTTGTCCGTTTCTATGCAAGGTCACTCAGTTTTAAAGTTCCTATCTATTTATTAGTTAAGATGAATAAAGAATTTTTGCATTTTACAAATTTGTTGGTTGTTTTGTTGAGCTAATACTGGTCCTTACATCCTTGACTGAAGGATCTTCCGTCTCTCTCTCTTTCCCGATGCGCAAATTGTATGGTTATTGGGAGCTAATTTCCAAGGAACCGTTGCCAAAAAATGTTCTCAAAAATAACCTCTTTTAAAAAAGCTTATATCTAATAGTTACCATTAGTTACATCTGTTAGTGATTAGAGAACTAAAAAATGAGAACTGATAAACCCTAGATAAAACGATTCGACTTTTTGCAAACGTTTTTAAATCCTTTTTTTTTTTACATTAAAATTCAAGTTTTTAAAATCATTTGTTTATTTAGTGGGCTTAAAATATATAATATCAATCTTGAGCTTGAGGGCAGTCCAAGTTCTTTGAAACTTCGCGTAAATTTACCTTCAATGATCATAATTTAAATAATAATACATTTTATGCTTACAGAATTCTGAACAAATGTTTGATATTGATAACACCCCAACGCCTATGAATGTTTCCAATACTTCAATGTGTCAGGATCGATCAACTTCCCGTAAGTTATCTGACCTTCCGCACCTTAAGAAAAAGAGTGCGGCATGTGGAGATAATAGCACATTTTCGGGAGTACCTTTTACATCGTCATTAAGTTCGGTGTCTGCGGGAAATCCAGAAAGCGATGCAAGTAAAGCTTTAAACATTAAAAATACATCTGAAAGTACACAAGGTAAAGTGGTTCATGCTGGTGCGTCAGTTCCCACATCTCCGGCGAATGTGGGCGAATCTGGGAATAGAGAGCTTGGTATGTTGCAGAAATCTTCTTCTGATAAGGCGCTTTATCCCAGCATGTGCGTTACGCCATCTGTTTCGTCAGTGCAAGTAAGTTACCCTCACACAACACCAACTTACTAGTATGTAATTCCAAATTTATTTTCAATAGTTTCCCAACGTTGGAGTATCAGCTGGAAATGAGAAAATTGTGTCAACAGTTGCATCTGATATTGATCAAAAGATTATTTTTAATACCAAGACAACAGTTTCAAACGGATTGTCATCAGGAGTGCAACGGTCAATTGTTCCATTATTATCTGCTGCGCAATCGCCAGCTACAGCCACTCTAAGCAGTCCCTTTAGCGCACACATGGCAACACCGAATGCTGGATTATCAATATTAAGTTCGGCTTCAAGTGTGATCCTGGCAAGCAGCATAAAATCAAATGATAACTTTGCAAGAAGTAACAACAATAGCAGTAACAATAACAATGGAAGTTCGAATAGTCAGGGAACATTATCATCCGTTGGATTGTCAAGCAGCTCGGAAATTACGAAAAATAGTTCAGTTTCAACCTCCTCGCCTCCCAATCCCATAGTTAATGGCTTCCTTAGTGTTTATCCGCCTGCTACGATTGCGACATCATCAGTAGCTACGAGTACGTTGCCACGTGTTTCTCCCAATGCAACAAATAAATTAGTGGCACCGGTTTCTACATCCATCTCGATAAACACAAACTATGTTGGAATTTCTGGTGGAACAACAACTACGTCCGGTATGGGAAAGGTGGTCTTCGGCACTGGCGGGAATGCAATTGTAGGTACGGGGTCTCCATTGCTTTTTCCTGGAGCGCCACCTGCCCCCATTTCTCACGTTGCTTCTGGTGTGCCCATGATTATCCAAGCCCCTCCATACCGAGCACCTTATACGAATTACCCCCTCTACACTCCATACAGCGGCCTTACGCATGGGTCGTACCTGCCTCCAGTATTGCCGGTCGCCACGTCCAACATACCGCCCACACAAATTCGGAGCTCGGATAGTCGAAACAGTCGTGAGTCGCCAGCATCTTTAAAAGCGACATCGTCGAATATTGCATTAAATGTCTCGATGACACCGACCTTGCGATCTATCACGCCACTCAATAATAGCTGTGCAATATCTAGCGGCGCATCGCAGCCCGTTGTGTCGGTGGTCCCTTCGGCAAACACAACTGCCCTTTCGTTAAGCAACTCACATATATCTCATTCCCATCATGTGCCTGTGTACGCGACAGGTGCATTTTCCTCTGCGACGGCCGGGACAAGTACCCCGAATTCCGGACTATCTACTCTGGCGGTAACCTCGCTTTCAACCTCGGCTGCTCCACAACCGCACTTCCCCCAGTCTACCCAGATGCATTCACAGAGTGGAAATTTCTCGTCTGTGTCTCATTTGCTAACAACGCACTCAATGCCGCCGCAGAATCAGCCTTTAGTGCGTTGCGGAAGTGCACTGTATTCATCATCCGCCTCCGCCGTTGCCGCCTCCTCAAACTTCAGCCCATCGGTTCTCGCCGTTCAAAGTTTAACGACGGCGGTTACGTCGAGCTCGTCATCGCCATCTACATCATCATCATCTGTGATCCAGAAGGTTATTTCCCCCAAAGGAGAAAGTCCTTGCAACAAAGATCGGGATCCCAGTTACAGGTGAGCAATATATGTTTGACGTGATTTTTTCTGCCATGCAACCTGGTTTCTTATTAAGAATAACTTCTAACTTTGAGAATATAGCAAACTTCCCCAGTGTTCATTTTGCAATATTTTTGAAAGTTTAGATAAATGTTTTCATAAAAAGGTTACATATATTTTTCATTAAATATTTAGCTGAAGTGACAAATCTTTAAAATTAACTCTCCCCGTGTTTCGTATCAATATTACAAAAGCCAAAAATATATAACTAAATGTTTTTTTAACTTTCGGTAATTTGGAATTGATTTCCTCTTTAGACCATCCCAAGGATCTTTAGTTAATAAAAAATTTAACTATATTTGTTTGAAAAATCCTAAAAAAAAGTTTTTTAATTTTGTTTTCCTTTCAACTAAAATGTTAAATTTAAATTTTCATTATGTAGTTAAGGGATTTAACGTGGCTTTGTTAGTGCTACTATTCGGGGTTTGGTGAACTCCGTACAGGGTACATAAGCGCCGAACACATTGATCGCAGTTGACGTACAGAAAGGATCGTACAGGCGAAAACAAGAGGGTTAAGATTCGTCGAAGTAGGATTTTGGTTCGCATTGCTTTGATTTAAATATGGTCTATGTAACCACCGCTTGCAAGGATCTTTCATTTGTTGGCATTGGTATATTATATTAATAGGGCGCCCATTGTCACGCCTTTAAAGTTATGTCAGAAACGCAAGGTTTGTTTTGCATGGTAAAATAAAATACAAGTAAAGCTACCGGACAGATATATTAACTTTTGAACAATTAAGCCCTTTAAAATAAATCATGATTACTTTAGCAGTTAGTTTACTATGGTTAAATATTTAGAACCTGCAAATACCATTTGATTAAAATTATTGACTGTTTAAAATAAACATTGAAAAATATTGTAAGGAGGTTTAAAACAGATATTCAGAAAAACATAATTTGGATAAACGACCATTTAAAGTTGTCATAAATTTTTTAATATAAATATAGTCTATTAACACTGAAAAACACTTCTTATATTTTGCAGTACAAATATCAGGTCCCACGGTGCATCAACAATATTGCCTGTCGTGTCCCAGGGAATTAGTCTGGGCTCGTCTTTTTGCGGTATCCCCCCAAGTCAATATGGAGGTACAGGTACCTCAGTATTATCCTCAAGTTCTTCAATGACGGGACTGGGAAATCTCCCCTCATACTCCTCGAAGGCGGCACTTTGGTTGAAGTACACATTAAATGTCTTATTTAAAGTTGGTTAATCAAACTAACAATTGTTTTTCGTTTATAGCTCACCTGCCAACGCAGTGGTAACGTCATGTGCTTCCTCAACGCCCATAGTATCGAGCGGAAGTGCCCGTCCGACTCCTCCGCTCTCGAACTGCACAAGCATGGGAATTGGCATGGTGAACTCGGCACCAACGGCGAGATCCTCTTGCAATGCCATATCGCCTCTTTCCATTCCTGCAACTGCTGGTATTCACGTGTCTGCCACAAATCCCTCTTTTCAGTCGTCGTCATACTTCCCAACACCTTTAGCGCCGCCGCCATCTTCCCCATCACCAGCTACATCTTCCGCGGCCATCATCAGCTCTGCCTCTCCATTTCCGGCAGTGTCTCACTCAATGAGCAGTATTGTAACAACGGCAGGAGCGCCCACAACCACGGCCTCATCTATAACACAGCCTACAGCTCCGGCAATATCAAATACAGTGACAAGCACGCCGCATCCCTTTTCTGCAGAATCGCTTTTTCAGCCAAGCAAAAGTAAGTCACTCGAAGTTTGCACAGCAATGTATAATTGTGTCACTTTTTTCGCAGATGATCAAGCTGATTTGCTGAGGCGTGAGCTAGACAGCAGGTTCCTGGATAGATCTGGCTTGGCTGTTACCCCCACGCCGCCATCATCAACATACTTACGAACTGATCTCCAGCATCAACAACACCCACATCTACATCAACACCCGCAGTTGCTTCCGCCAGCATCGGCTTCATCAACTCCCTTAACAGCTGTGCAGCCAACTTCTGGACAAATATTTCCCCCGCCATTATTTAAAGATCTTTCCAAAATCTCGTCCGTCGATCCTCAGTTCTATCGTGCTGGTATGGGGTTACCAACAGCAGGCTACAGTGGATACACCTCAGCAGGCCTTTTGCACAGTGGCTTAGGGGGGCCAACGCCGTTCATGCCTCCCAACCACTTAACTTCGTTTGCCCCTAAGGTAAGAGCTATGCTAAAAACACATTTGTTGGCCATCTTAGTAATTAAAATTACTTTACATAGCTAAACGATATAACTTCTTGCTACCAAGATTTTTATTAAATTTTTTTTTGTTGCAGAAAACTGGTCGTTGGAACGCTATGCATGTTCGAATTGCGTGGGAAATTTACTACCACCAAAACAAGCAAAGCTCTGAAAAGACAGGATTTCCAACAGCGTCTTCGAATGCACAATCGATCAACGCACCAATTCCGCCAGGTAACCTGATCAGTGGAGGAGGTGGCATGGCCAGTGGGGCCAACACGCCAGTTAATAATGTAGCAGCTATCCCAGCGGTTGGTGGTGGTGTCCTAGTGTCAAATGGGCCGGCTTCTGTACTTGGTATCAAGACAACACCACAACTGGGTCTTAATACGGCACCGCAGCACATTCTTCATCGTGCGAATGAACTGCCACCATCAGCAGCATTCGCCAATGCGTTGCCAGGTCGATTAGCGTTTGAAACGTCTAACTTGACGGCGAGTTTCATTGGAGCTCCTCCCAGTCATATTGGTAGGTAGAAAATTGGTTAAAAAGTCCGAACTTCGCCAAATAACTTTGCTTTTATCAACAGGAACCGCTGTTTCCCCGTTTGGACGTTATGTGAATCCGTTTGGTTTCACAGGCCTAACACATTTTGGTGGCCATTTAGACTCGTGGAGGTAAATAATAAGTTATTTCTTTTAAGGTTCCGAAGTAAGCCATTGCTTACAGATGACTGTACATTGTTTCCCTGCTATTTTGAAGCTATCATAAAAAGTGTTAATTGAAACATAATACAACTCAACACAAATTATAATTTTTTGTTAGCTTAGAAGAGCCGTAATTCTTTTTCATAATTTTAAATCAATTTTTGTTTTTGTCTATATAGTTAAAAAATCATAGATGTTATTACATTTCATAGATAAATTCAAGACCAGATAATATAAATAGTAAACAGTAAGGAAGGTCATATATAATTAAACAAAATTTGATCTATACTGCTTTAAAGGAAATAAGTTTTAGGGATGTTTCAGTTTAAAAAAATATAGTATGTTTTTAAAACATTCTTGTTAAATTTTTTTTTAAGTTTAAAGAAAATACTACAGCAAAATGAAAGTATTAAAAACTTGCCAAACTCCACATGAGCACTCCCAATTCTTTTGCTTTCGTAGTTCCCCAGCTCTTACCTTTTATATTAAATCTTTATGTTGTTAATATAAATACTTTCTATTGTAGATCGAACGCAATGCAACGGAGTGTGGCCGCATATCATCCCTCAACTGCTTCAGCGTCGCCCAACTGGCCGGTCAAGACGGATCCCGGTCTGGACAACGCACGGCGCGAAGCGGAGGAACGTGAGCGCGAGCTGCGGGATCGTGAGCAGCGGGAACGTGACCGTCAGCGACGCGAACGGGAGGAGCGTGAACGCAAAGAAAAGGAGGAAAAACTAAAGCGAGAACAACAGGAGCGGGAACGAGAACGGGAACGTGATCGAAAGGAACGGGAGCGTGAGCGGAGGGAAATTGAACGACGTGAAATGGAGCGTGAGCGAATGCTGCAGCAGCAGCGAATAAACGAGAGCAATAAGCAAGCGGCGGCAGTGCATGCAGCGGCTGCTGTGGCCGCACCTGTACGCGATCGCTCTCCGCATCGAAACGTTGGCGAGCTCAACACGGAAATTCGAATCAAGGAGGAGCATCCGCGCACAAAGGACGAGCAGGACGTAATGCTTTTGCGTGCTTCGGCAGCTGCAGTCGGAGTAGGTGATCCCCGCTACCATTCATCTTCGTTGGCGGCCGCTCAAGCAAATGCAGCTGCAGCGGCTGCACATCATCATCACGCCAACTTCATGGCAGCTAGTCGACATGGATTACCCCCACCATCACACCTTACTCGCACCATGATGCCACCCACTTTAAGTGTCGGTGGACCAATGGCGCATTTCGGTGCACCAGCGCCTCCAGGCTGGGGAATAGATCCGTATCGCGACCCCTATCCCATGCTCCGCTACAACCCCATCATGGAAGCTGCCCTGAGACATGAGGCTGAGGAGCGACAAAAGGCGATAAATATCTACGCAGCCCAGTCTGCAGCCCATTTGCGCAGCAAGGAGCCAAGTCCTATTCCGCCTTCAGTTGGTTCCCTAGGCCCACCTCCGCCCCACCACCGGCTGCAGATAGTAACTGGTGGCGTTGTTGGCCCATCAGGAGTTCAGCAGCAACAGCAGGGCCAGCAGCCGCCACAGCTTTCTAGTGGTGGCGGAATCGGAAAGAACTCGGGGCCGCCGGCACCAGTAAGCATTCCAGTCCAGCATATGATTAGCGTCGACTCCATGAGCCAACAAACTGTTACCGCGAAGAAGGAAGCGGACCACACGATGGGCATTGTCACAAATGCAGGCGTTGGTCTTGGTACAGTACCTGGTGGTGTTATAGGAATATCTCCCGTGTCATCTGTGGCGCCAAGTCGATGATAAGAAAATCGTTACTAACAACAATGTAAAAGCGAATAAGACAAAGAAATTTGAAAAATTTCGATCACCTCCACCAAAATGTCATCATACGCAAAGTCCCATCCTAATTACCTCCTCCCAGCATCATTTTGAGCCTGAGAGAACACCAATAAATAAAGCGCAACGCTTTTGTAAACTATAATTCTTGAATACATACATTAATTTGTAACGTGAGGAGATAGAAGATGTTTGTGGCAAACAAAAATCAAATTAAAGAGGTTAAGACTTCCTTATACTTCAGACCTAGCATTCAACCTAAGCACTGAGTCCCACATTGGCAAAATACTTTCCTCGACCTTAATATGGTCGCGCGTTGAAACGTCACATAAGTAATATGAACTTTACTTATTTTTAATAAATACAAATTACAAGCATAAAAATAAATTTAGGTTCGCATATTTAGTTTAAGTGTATTTGTATTATTTGTATAATATAAGCTTAAGAACAGCCACGAGACATGTTGAGCAAGAAAATAATTATAATTTGATTGTACATATACATATATACAAAGAACTCTCATAGTTATATGACATCAACATGCAGCCTATGGAATCCAAACTATCATGCACATGATACATAACTCTATGTATATCAGTGACAGCTTCATTCCCTTTGTGCATTACGTGTTTAAGGACTAATTATCATATATGCAATTTATGTAAAAATTGATAAAACTAAAAATAGAATCATTACAAAAAACATGTGCGGTTTATTTTACTGTCTTGAGCGGATCACTGGTTTGACTGGACGTCCTCTAGCTATGCTAGCTGCTATACTTCATTTGTGAGACCTTTTAATCATTCTAGTCTTTATTTAGTAATTATTGCGCTACTGTTATATTTGTTTCACCTTTTTTTTATCTGTACCCATGCAGAACGCTGTATATCTTCGTCTCCTAAAGGGGATTATTTGATTTCAATAATATAGCCCTATTAAAAAAAATCGATAGATCCTAAAAAAAATAATAGACTACAATCTTTTGAATTTCATTTAATTATTTCGATATACAAACACATGCCCTGCATTCATGTGAAGTAATTTCCTTTAATATTGTTTGGAATCCAACGCATTCTAATACGGCACAATATAAATGCATAAGAGATTTGGGTAAGATAAGATGTTGTTCACAAGCTAAAATTATGTATAATGATTGGTGGGTGGAAAGTAACCTCTTTGGGTCTCTTAATTTCATTCTTTTGCTCGATACACCTGTTTCATCAGTTATTTAACTTTGATCCCGTTCAAAAAGGTGTTTTTCGAAAGGTCTGCAAAATAGATCGATGATCTTCTTGGGGGAACTAAATTGTTTTATTGATGAACCGTTATTAAGGTTAGGGAAGAGATGACAGTACGAGTGAGTGGGGTGGACGGGGAGGCAATTGGAGCCCTAAATTGTTGATTTAGCCATGCGCAGGCATTTTTGTTACGGAGTCAGCATGCGCGGCACCCAGCATCAGGATAACTTTTTCAAACGCTGAATGTAGAGTAAAATATCTCGTGAGAGCACATTACTAATTCTAGCACCTTCACTTTCCGTTCAGCCAACACTATTTCATGTGTTCTTTGACATTTTCCTGAGTATCCGTATTGGAACCATTTAAATTTCTAAACCTATATTTTACGATGTAATCTAAAGGAACAACATACAACTTTTCCGTGGTTTCACGCCACATAGTATGGTGAAATAAAGAATAAGCTGTTAGTATTAGAGAACAATGTCAAAAGGGGGGCAATGTTACCTAGAGGCAAATCAATAATAGACAGACCATGTCTATACTCCTTCACGTTTCTAAAAAGAAACTGTATAAAAAACGAACTAAGGCAATATATGTTGTTTAATGGCCCAAAAATCTGTTTTCTTAATTAACAGTTTCAGATTTAAAAAATAGAAAAAATATAATAAATAACATATGCATTAATAAGAGGTGAATAAATCTTTAACCCCATTTGAAAACGACCTAAATAAATGTAGGAAACCAAAACAAACTCTATAGACAACTTTCAAAAAATATCTAACGTGCCCTCTCTTAAAAAACTTAAAAAGTGTCTTCCCTGTAAAAAGTACTTTTTGAAGCTTACTTTCTTAAAATCTTAAAATTTCACCTTTTGCATATGCAGAATTTCCTCCAACTACCAGCTTGAGAAAAACCCGGAAAATTATCAACTATTGGCCTCTCGCTCCTTTTCATAACATTTTTAAATTTTGTTGATGTTAGTTATACACAACTTTTGAGCAAGGTAATAGAATTCATTCGAACTTACCAAGTAAATGTTTAACGTAAGGATTAATACATAAAATAAATAATAATACAGTAATTTAAATTTGTCGAACAAACTTTTTTTAAGCGTTAAATTTACAAAAAAGACCAAGGAATAGAGGTGAATAGAATTAAAATTAAAAATACAGATACAAAGTAAACAAAACCTGTAAATTAATAACGTACCTACCTGTATATTAATAACATAACTTTTTTGTTTGGCAATTTAAAGTCTCACATTTATTGCAACTATTCTTACCGTCATTTAAGCCATTTATGACTCCAAATTTTCCCCCAAAGGTTTGAATCACAGCGAAATTCCAATGTTTAAGAACACTTTGAAGGAAATTTGTATATTTTCTTCTTATTCCAGCTTATATGTATATTGATAGATCATTGGAAAGGGGTATCATTTTGACATTTATTTAGTAGTTTGTTTTATTTATCTAGATTTTTAGTTTTAATTGTATCGGATTTTTATTTAGAAAGGCATGCTAAAATAATGCCCGTGATCGGGGGCCACTCGAAATCTCTATAAAAACCTTGGTGGTCCAGAATTGTATGTCCCGGAATGTTGTGGATGTGATGTTGGCGATGGTTGTCCTTGCCGCAGGAGTTCAAATGGCGAGTTTGAACGCTGCATGAAGTGATGATAGTTGTTTGTTGGCAGTTGGTGCTTCAAGAGAATGCGTTTAATTGAGGACAATGCTTAGGGAATACTGTGTAACTAACCTGTATATTTCGTAAAGTCATTGAACCTACAGCACTTCCAATTATGTGAGGGCTCGGGCCATCGCCTAAATCTAATTGCAAGCTCTCGGACATGTCGTTATTAGTGCTTACTGCGCGTCCACCCATGTTGCTGGCGCACCCAGCGCCGTTGTTTGTCAGATGGAGCTGTCCCAATGAAGCCGTCGCCATCGCCACATCCGGCATCATCTCGGACAAATGGCTATTGGCCGCGTCCAGGCCACAAGCACCGCCCTCGGCGCCCATGTCCAACCCCATTCCGTTGCCATGCGGAAATCGGAAGTCACCCTCGGTGATGAGGGCTGGTAGGTCGTTGCGTTGATGCACTGACGATGAGAGTCGCGAGTAGCTGCACTGCAGCGTTGGCCCAGAGCCGGAGCTGGATCCGAACGCACTGGCTACGCCGATCAGCCCGTTTGAGTGGTGGCGTGGGAAGGTGAGATTTCGACTGTAGCAGGGATGGGCAGCGTCGGTGCCACACGACGCCACTGATGAGCCCATGGGGGACAAGAACGAGGATGCCACGGTGGTGTGTCGCGAGACTGAGCAAGTGGCCGCCGGTGATGGCGGCGGGCTTTGATCCTCGTCCTCCAGCAGGGAGTCATCCTTTTGGGAGGTCGACGCACCTGTCTCCTCGGCATGGCTCTCATTTCTACCCTGATTGGTTTGAAGTGCGATTTCCAACAGGTCAGACACTTCATCCGGCAGATTAAACTCCCGAACAACCCGAAGCCGAATTTGCCTGTCGATCTCGTTCTTCGAAGAGAGTGGCAGCAGCAGGGCCCGCTGGCACATAGGCGATTGACGCAGCTTGTGTTCCCGCTTTCGCATTGCCAACAAGGTTTGGTTGTCCGGTGGTGGAATAACAGCGGCGCCTACTAATATATCAACATTTCCATCAGTACTACGGTTTTCTACTGTGCTAAGATCACTATTCGCCTTTGAATTCATATGCGACACCATATATAATGTATCTGGGATATCCGGAGGATGTCGACACCTGCGCATTCGCATCAGTTCAACCTGATGATGGGATGACGACATCCGATCTTCCAAGAGCGCTTTAACCTCCTCGAAATAGGGCATGAATAAACGGGGTCTTACGTATAGACCTTGATTTTTACCACCGCGAATCCAGGCGTTGATACGCAGATTCTCGCGATCATCTCCGATCATATGCGAAGGTGGTGTGCTCACAAGGCCCCGCCGAATCGCCTGGCAAAGCACCTCACAGTGCGGCGGCAAGACATGATCCATTCGCACCAGGGGCAATAGTTCGGAGAGTATCTCGCGTAATTCTATATCACTCAGGTCACGTTTCTTCACACCTTTGCGTGCTACCGAGTGGGCTGTGTGGGACAACAGGTTGGGCTCTCGATCTTCCATGCGGCGAATGAGCTCATGCTCGCCCCACTTGAGGACAGCTTGCAGGACCTCCAATTCAGATGCCTGCAAGAAGTTGCTATGCAGAATATGTATTAACTGAGATTTGTCAAGTTGGTGCAACACCGGCGAGGAGCTAACAGCGGCAAATTCCTCCCGCAAATACTGACAAGCTTGGCGAAAGACCCATGCAGATCCATAGGGCTGGCAGCCCCACTTTAGGACAGTGGGCAGCGTTTCTATGGATAGCCATTCAAGAATCAAATCCTCACAGCCTTGAGCCAAAATATCCAGCTCTAAGAATCGACCGATCTGGTATAACTCCATGGCCTCCTCAAGGGTCGTCGGTCGCACACGCCCTGTGTTGGTCAGAGCGTGCACTTCTCCAAGTGATCCGGCTGATGTACCAGATCCCACGCCACGCAAAATCAACGTTAAATCCACCGAGTCAAGATAAATTGCTTGCAGCAATACCCGCGCATATCTTTTTGGTATAACAGTTTCGTCCAATACAATGCGTGTGGGTACGTGTAAAGAACGTTCAACGTACTCGTCAATATTACGTGTTCGACGAGCAATTAAATTTCGAAAAAACGGTGACCGCGCGCTCAATATCGCTTTATGGCAAGGAAGTTCAATCTTCGGTCGGAACCCGTATTCCGAGGTTCCCGAGTCTTGTCTGAGATAGTCGTTGGTGCCATCTGCGGTAAAAACAAGTGCTGCGTCTGCATAATCACCAGTTTCCAACAAATAGCGCAGATCATGCTCCAGGGGATTCGGAGTACCAAAATCCTTGCCCAGCTGTCGCAATAGAGCAATGTCAATGCTGGGATCATGGGGGCAAAGATCACCAGTATATAAGTAACGTAGTAGTGACGAGAACAGTTGTACATCAATGGGGGAAGTGGGCAATTCGAGACAGATACGTGCTCCGAAACCAGGACATCCTGCCAGCAGGTCCCGAAAATATACACAACGGGCTGATAATATTGAACGGTGGACTGAAAATATCGTTCCACGAAAGACAAGATCACAATCAGTGCACAAATTTTTCTCATAGATAGCAGCCAGATCTTGCTTGAACGTTGCTGCCGGCGGTCGTGCCAGTTCAGCTTGCACCTATAATGGAATTAAGAGGTTAAGTCACGAGATCAACAATAAATGCCAAGGGTTTAAGTGTGCTAACCGACAAATCCCTTAGGGCCGACAGTGCTTCAAACTCCTCGCACAGGGCTGCCAGTTCCACAGGTGCCCAATCAGAGACAAAATCCCTCAGCACGCGAGCGTGATCACAGGCCTTCGAAGAACGCCGTCGACGTATGAATTTGCGTTTGAGGGTTGCAAAGCCAGTGGCACGCTTCCTCCTCTGATCGCGGTGGTAGTGTGCTCCGCTTATGACAATCCCAGGAGTTCCGCCCGCGTTCCCACCACTCGCACCGCAACTGCCGCCGCTCATGCCGTAGGCACCTGCCGAGGAAATTTCTGCCATGCCCATGGGTAGGCCTGCTGATAGGTTTCCATTGGAGTTGCTGGAATTACTATTAACTGCACTCCCTGATGACGCGACCGTCGGATAACTGCTGCTCGAAGTATTGGCTCCCATTTTGAGTGGATTGGCTGGCCAAAACCAAATACTTAACTGGATGCGGTACCTTTTGTAAATGTTTTTATGCAGGACATGCACACAGGATTATATCTTGTACTTTCATGCTTAATTGTATTACTGCCTTTATATATTGTTAGTAGCAGCGTGTTATTAACAACCAGGTTCTGAAAAATGAAGAGTCTATATTGCACGTGTTTTACAGACAGTTTAAGCCAAGCAAATGTAGCAAGTACCTTCTTTGTGCAATTTTCCTTTCAACATCTTAAAAATTCAGCTTTTGGGACAATCTCAATCTCCCTGAACCCTTAACAAAGCGGTATCTTCTCGTGGACATGATTAACACGCGACAGTTTTATCTGTAATTAAAAAATCAAATATTTTCTGTTAGTAAACTTAGATAACTATTGATTGAACGAAAACAAAACTTAGAAACTTTGGCAAGCCGAAGTTGTGAAACAAAAGCTGCTGTACATTATTACAAAGTTCTACCGTTTTGTAATATTTATCACGAACATCTTATATTCTCTTGTCTTCTACAGTCAAAGTTGATTACCATCCACCCGTCTATTTTAGACGGATTCACTTGGTCGGCTTAAAGTCTAGGGTTTTTTTTTCGCAATTCTTTAATTCTTTATTACGAGCATATGTAGATTAAGATTGAACATCTCAGTGGTTGTGGACTAAGTTAAGATCGAAGTTAACGATCTTATAACTGCAAGAGCTTGCGGAAGCTAATATTTTTCTTTTCTTAGTTAGCCTTATTGGTAATCAAGCGTTTTAGAAAAGGATGACTGGCTTATTTAGCATTTGAAGAAAGCCGGAGAAGTCAATCTAAAATAACAATTTCTTAACTTTATATTAATAATCTTGTATTAATTCATAATAATTTAGATAAGTTAATTGAATCTAAATTCCAACGGAATTCAGTTTAAAAAAAAGACCGCCGAAAAATCAAAAACTCAATCCGGTTTTTCCCGAAATTCCAGATTTTGTATAGAAATTAATATTATATTATATTATAAGAGTTCATATCGACGCTGTTAAAACTTTAGGACCCAAATGAATAATCAAATTTCTGACCACACCTTTTCCACTCGTCATCACAAAGTTCTAAATTCTATTTGTTTTAAAATGAGTAACTTTCAAAAAATGTTGTACAAGACATTTTATGGAAACATGATCGGGCTCACATTATTGCTAAGAACTTTTTACAAACCTGTGCTATTGGCGTTCATTCTTCGAGATCCAATTGTTTACAATGCTTCAGGGGAAGGCATACCGAACGGCAAGCTTAAATATTTCAGTACTTTCAACACGCATTTATGATATTTGCTTCACTGATGAAAAATGTCCTAGAAGAGAAACGTTTTAGGTAATATTAGCACATACATTTTAATGAAACGATGTATTTTTATTCGTTATATTATGTAGATTTTCAGCGTTTTGTATAGAGTGACCCACATATGTTTGTACACATTAAGTATATATGTATGTGCATCTGGTTAAATGTAAATGGGACGTACCAACGAAACAATAAAACAAATTGTAGAAAATCGGGGTGACTTCCGTCTAGTTAGAGAATCATTTCAGATAAGAAAAAAAAAAAGAAATCAAAACAAATGTCTTTTTTCTTAAAAGTTTTTTTATAGTACACTTTTAAGACCGTTGAAATAAATATTGCATGCTTTTATTTCGTTTAAATAAAAATCCACTACATACATACATACTTATGTATACACGAAGTTGCCAATACGATAGCGATAGTCAAGTTGACATGAAACGTCCCATATGTACATACATATATACACCATAACAAATGGTTCTGCTTCTTAGGCAAATACACATTCTAGTAAAAGTTACTGAACATTTTTGACCTTTAGTTAAATGTTTTAAGTTTCTTATTAATGGACAACATTGAAATTTTTGGGGTACATATACCAAAAATAGATAGGCATACATATGTATAAAAAAAAACGCACTGTTGCACATGTGCAACTGAACATCTAATAAAATTTTAATACATGTGAATATTGTATATTCAAATTCGTTAAAAGATACTTCGATATTAACGAATGTGTCCAAAATGTGTTGGCACCGTTTGCCATTATTAAATATTAATGAGACCCGCACATATATTTACACATACACACATATATACGAATATGTATACAGATTTATGTTCACTCTACACATACGTAAGATTAAGATGAGAATTCCGTATTCTGTTACTGGGCACTATGTTTTCCTATATAAGCTATCATTTTTACAACTCATATATAAAATCACTTGGAAAACATACTCTTTGTTCACCACTTCAGAAATACAGCAGGTATTGCATTTTCACTTGAAAACTTTAATTCACATGTAGCAGGAACAAAAAGTCTACATTTGTTGTGATGAATAATGTCCAATTGCGACAATTGCATGTCCAACACCTAACATTTTATTTTAGGGTTTCATCAATTGATTATTTTATTTACATGCCAGTATTAAAATGTTCTGAAAATTGGTGTGCCCGTATGTTTAAAATCGACAAAGACTGAATACCAAACGATTAGATATCGATACCGATAGAAATATGAAAACGCACCCGAAACCCCGTTTCGGACCCTTTTTTGTTAAAAGTCCCATTCCACTAGAACATATTTTCACAATCCGGCCAATGTACATTATTTAAAATATGGGCTTCTAAAAGAAAAATGTGATTATTCAAAAACATTTAAAATTTGAATGTGTTTAAAGTGCTGTCCACACTGCCTTAAATCCTTTCTATCGAGTTAGCTATCGATTCCTATACACGGCAATTGTGCCAGCATCGAGAAAAGTCCAATCGATGAAACTTCAGATAATATGTACTTAAGTTTAGGTTTCTGAAAAAAAAAAAATTCCCTAAAAAATCATATGGTACCCCTTTTGAAAAATATTTTTTCCGAAATCTGGAAAAACCCAGCTCTATTTTGCGGCTTTTTAATCAAAACCTTGAGAATTAGTCGCGTGTGGCATACCTCGTTGAATTCGTTATAAAAGTTCCAATCAAAAAGTATTCACAGAAAAAAATAGTTCTTAAAAAAATTGCACAAAAAATTATGGGCGTACCCCATGAAATATATTTTGATTGAAACCCGGAAAAAGTCTGCTAGACTTTTCGGTTTTTTAATCAAAGCCCTGAAAAAAAATCATGGGGGTAACACTTATGAAAAATATTATTATTTAATTAAAAAAAAATTATGGAGGTATGACACCTTGTTGAATTCGTGACAAAATTTCCAACAAAGAAATATGACAAGACTATATCCGATTTTGATAAAACTCAAGGGATAAAAAATTGGCTAAAATATGCAAAAACAGCAAATTTAACAAATGTGACCCGATTGTTTCTATGGCAGCTATATGATGTAGACGTCCGACCAGCGAAGTTTTCTTCAAAAACAGCAAATTTAACAAATGTGACCCGATTGTTTCTATGGCAGCTATATGATGTAGACGTCCGACCAGCGAAGTTTAAGCTTTAGTTTAGGCTTGAAAATGATTTAGAAACAGTCAAGACGGACCTGACTTTTTGAACTCGCCTTAAGTTGATCAAGAATATGTATGTTTCATAGAAATGTCCGTTTGCATGCATGTACATATTTTCGAGAACAAAAACTACATGACGTTCTTAACGTTATACTTTATGAAAAGCAAATGATGTAATTCAATTAGCTTTATCGACATTAAGAAATTGCAATGAACATCCGTAATAAAATTTGGGTTATAGAATAATACCAGGGAAACCTGATAGGTATTCATCGACTTATGGTCAAATAAAAATGCAAGAACTAATATTTAAATGCTAATATTTAACTGGATATTTTTACAACTACACACAGAGTGAAATTTTATTCAACAACAGTTAACATATTTATGTGTATATGGATGTATGTATTCAAATTTTTCCAATGTTGCTGGCAAATTAAAGAGCAAAAACAGAAGCATATTAAATTGCGCATAGTGATGCTCCACCGGGGAGCATTAGCATTATTTGATGCCATTTCTGGGTATTTCTGATGTCTCGCTTAATTTACCGCGCTACTAACTTCAATATGTGCGGGTGGTTATTTAATCATTTAATCCTTGGTTTGCATATACTTGATCAGATCGATGACGCGGTTGGAATATCCAAACTCGTTGTCATACCAAGAGATCAATTTAACGAACTTGTCGTTAAGCGAAATGCCAGCCTTGGCGTCGAAGACCGACGAGTGAGTGTCGCTGAGGAAATCGGTAGAGACGACTTCTTCGTCGGTGTAACCGAGAATTCCCTTCAGAGGTCCGTTGGCAGCCTCCTGGACCTTGGCCTTAATCTCGTCATAGCTTGCTCCCTTGCCCAGGCGGACGGTCAAATCGACAACCGACACATTGGGGGTGGGCACACGGAAAGCCATGCCAGTCAACTTGCCGTTGAGAGCCGGGATAACCTTGCCAACAGCCTTGGCAGCTCCAGTGGAAGCTGGGATGATGTTCTGGGCAGCGCCACGTCCGTCGCGCCACAGTTTTCCAGAGGGTCCATCCACGGTCTTCTGGGTAGCAGTGGTGGCATGGACGGTGGTCATCAGACCCTCCACAATCTCGAAATTGTCGTTGATAACCTTTGCCAGGGGAGCCAGGCAGTTGGTGGTGCACGAGGCATTCGAAACCACCTTCATGTCCGGGCTGTAGGCATCCAAATTGACGCCGCAGACGAACATGGGTGCATCGGCAGATGGGGCCGAGATGATGACCTTCTTGGCACCGCCCTTCAAGTGAGTAGATGCCTTCTCGATGGTGGTGAAAACGCCAGTGGACTCCACAACGTATTCGGCACCAGCGCTGGCCCAGTTGATGTTGGCCGGGTCGCGTTCGCTGAAGACGGTGATCTTCTGGCCGTTGACCACCAGGAAACCGCCCTCGGCGGCCACGGTGCCCTTAAAACGTCCATGGGTGGAGTCAAACTTGAAGAGGTATACCATGTAGCTGACATCGATGAAGGGATCGTTCACCGCCACCACGGTGGCGCCCTTGTCGATAGCGGCACGGAGCACCAGGCGACCGATGCGTCCAAATCCGTTGATACCAATCTTCGACATGGTTAACTTTTTGTTTATTTATTCACTAAATGGAAAAAAAATGTAGTTAGAATTTGACTCAATGGTTTTTTTCCAGAGAGAAGAGGTCCACTACCTATCGGCTTGCCAGCAAGGAATCGACTGTGATAACTGAGAAATATTGAGCGCAAACCTAGGCGAGAAAATTTTCAAAGTCAGATGAAGGACGTTCCTGTCACACGCAACCACCATAATAAAACGAGCTTTTGCTCTCAAATTGAATGTTACCCAATAGTCTTTGTTTGGGGAGATTTTTTATACATCGGATGTTGCTTGCAAGTCTATTTACATGATTTTATAAGTAATTAACAGTTTGCAAACTAACAATAATAAAGTAAAATAACTATTTTCAAACCAAATTCGTTTAGATTGTAAACGTACAATTTTAGACTGAATTTGCTTGTAAGAGATTTCTGAAAGTCTCCCGATAATGTTTATTATAAAAAAATTTGGTTTATGTATTAACACAAAATAAAACATTTCAAAATTAGTTGACCAATTACGAAAATATCAAATCGTTTTTAAATTTGTTATCTAAAAAATGTTTGCTATGTTATACAATTTGCTCAATTTTTTTGCTGGAATTATTTGAGCTTTTGAGAGAACATGAACTTTTGCTCGGCATACATACATGCAAACGAATTTATTATAAGTATGTATTTATGTACATTAAATATAAGTATATGCATTCATACCAGGTTGCCGGTAATGATTTATACAAGTTGAATCATATTTATGCATGGATGTTAATATATGTATGTACGTACATAGTACCATTTATATCTAAATACATTCGTATATACATATGTACATAATTTTCAATTAATATTGATTAAGACATGGTTATGTTTGTACCTGCATACATATACATACATGTACATGTATGCCCAAACATATATATGTATGTCTTGATGAATATTAATAGGGAATAATTTACATATGTACATACATATGTACATATAAATATAAATCAACTTGAATAAATAATTTTGAAATACATATATATGTACATACATATGTTTCTATGTACATATTCATTTCTATATGTATATATACATATACATATATACATTCTATTGCGGAATAATATAAAACTTCAGTAATTTTTTTTCTCGAGAATTCGATTTTGTGAATAACACTATGAAATCATAGCGTCATTTCATGAAATGATGAGCCGCAACAAAACAAACTAAGCCCCAGTACATAGTATATACCATATACATATACACAAACACACATAGGTGGCAACGCTGAGCAAAAAAGTACATTTATCTATAATAAGCCCACCAAAAGCTCGTGCAAACTCAAAACGACATTAGAAATTTGTACATATGTATATTAAATTTCTTAGTTAATATTGCTGATTTTACTAAAACAAGGGTTTTTTTACACCAATGTTTTATCGATAAACACTTGACAACAACTATATCTGATATTTTCATTTTATTAGGGGAATCCCCCATTCCTGGTTTCAAAACTCTGAAATACTTTAAGGGCTTTTATCTCGAAACAAAGCTTTAACGGTTGGTAGGAGTCATTAAAATCTTATGTAAAAATAGATTTAAATTTAAATACATTAAATTAATTTAAGCTTAGATTCTAATCTTTTCTATGTCAAATCTCGGGAATAAGTAATATTAAGATATTTAATGTAGTTATCGACATAAAAAAGGCCAGGCAAAACAATCTTTCTGTTCTCTGCACTAGTACACAAAACTTTAAATACTTTCTTATCAAAACCCTATTAGACGCCGATTACAAAAAAAATCCACGTTCAGTTTAATCTATACTTTTTCAGATAAAATATAAATAACAGGAAATTAATTTACCTTACTTGCATTTTATAAACATCTTATTTATGTTTCTTGTTTTCAGGCGCCAGAAACTGAATCGCCGAAAAACCAATGTTGTGGAATATAAATAATATATATTTTGGAGATTTCGTAGTACTAATAGGAAATAATAAAAAATATAATTTAAATGGACTAAACAAGTAATAAATTCAAGCTGGAGCAGAATTTGGCAAACAACGCAAGCGCAGTCGACTGAAAACAGAAGCTTAAGATTGGAAGGAGTTAACACCGATACCCGAGATCCCGATATATAAAGTTTCCTTCAATAAAATCTTCCCAGATCTTCCCAAAAATTCAGCAAATAAAGCAAGACGTCTTAAGATTAGTCGATATTTAAAATTAAAAAATAATGACATACAAATTTCTGCTTCGCCAAAAACTTTTATTTTAATGTAGAAAATTGGTGCTTTAAGTGGTTAAGACTGTTGTTTCCACTGAATTTCCCAAATCCATAGGCCGTAAAACGAACATGCATTAAGTCATTGAGTCGTAAGCATTAAATCGTGTTAAATCCCAATATGCTGTTATAGTTTTCGAGATATCGCCTTACATACGATGCATTGAATACTTCTAGTTTACAAGGAAGGGATATACAAAATAAATTATGTGTAAAACCGCCAATATTGCGTAAACTTGACTGATTTATCTCGCAAAACCTTTGGCATTTAGAGAAAGGGAAACCAAAATTCTTTAGAACAAATTGGTCAATATCTTATTGTTTCAGAAATATTATATAACAATAACAAGTTTTAATATGCAAAATTTAAATATCTCTTAAGCGAAAAGTTAATTACTCGTTTGTTTTTTTTTTTGGCTAAGATAATACAATTATTACTTTCCTATTGACTTTTTTGATTTTATTATTTTCTATAAACCAAAAAATAGAATACGCGTTTTTTTGTCAATGTCGTTTTCATCGGTATCGATAACAAAATGTATCTATTTCCCTTGCAACAGTTTATTTTCTACATCAACAACATTCCAAAAAAAACAAGAGAGAACGTTATAGTCGAGTGCCTCGACTATTAGATACCCGTACAACTTAATATAAATATGCCTTCTTGTATGTTTTTTGCCGCTCGAATTAGCACCTTGACCAGCTGTTCCAAAGTCATCCGTTAGATGGCGCTATTGTATTGCGAAATGAAAGGCGGAAATGTAGGCGCTAGCCAGGCTTAAGCGTTTAATGGGTTTTTGGGCGTTAGAGTGGGCGTGGACAACTTTTATTAGGCCAATCGATAGGTATTTACAAAACAAATACATATCAATTAAAATTGTCATAATAGCATCAAAACTGTGGCCACAGCTTGTGGCTTGTGGGCGTCAGAGGGGGCGTGGCACCATTTTGAAACAAACTTGCGCTGCGTAGGAACTCCTAAAATCTACATGCAAAATGCCAATCTTCTAGCTTTTATAGTTTCCGAGACCTCAGCGTTCATACGGACAGACAGACAGACGGACAGACGGACATGGCTAGATCGACTCGGCTAGTGATCCTAAACAAGAATATATGTATATACTTTATAGGGTCGGAAACGCTTCCTTCTACCTGTTACATACTTTTGCACGAATACAATATACCCTTTTACTCTACGAGTAACGGGTATAAATATGTAAATAAGCTTTTATAATATGCTCAAAATTTCAGGAAACAATAAAAAATATTTAATTTGTGGTTGGTGGGACTTTTAAATTAAAAGCTGTAAATTGGGTGGACAACAAAATTAATACTTGTTCTTACCCATGATTCTTACTGTCATTTCGAATACATTTATTGCACTAGAAAATTTTCCATATTAAACGGAGAGATAAAGGTGTTTTTTACCACATACTTGACCGTTTTTATAATATTTCTATTTGTAGAAGTCTTCATATAGATTTATTACCTTTAAAAATTCCTTTTTAAGTGATCCATTGACATGATCCTACTTTTCTATTTTATCTCTCCTGTCGGAATGAACCGCAATCAATACCCTTAAAATAGTTTAAAGTAATAAGCATGTATTTATAGATGGAATCACGGAGGGTTTCAGCAGGTGGTATAAGAAACGCTCGGCGCAACAAATCTGGGGTTATTGATCCCCGACGACAGCATATCCGTTTGCCAACCTAGAAACCTCATTACAGATTGACGTCACGAGCTGTAATAGAGTATCTAACTCCGGCACTTAGGGAGGGGCCAGGTTTTAATCACGGTGCTGCATATGGCAAACCCAAACAATAAGTTCTGTTTTGAAATTATAATCATTCCATTTTGGTATTTCCAAACATTTCAAATCAACCATCATATGAATTTTAAGACAGCTACTTATCAATAATTTCAATATATTAAGAAAATGAATAAAAATATTTGATTCTGAAAGCGCATCAACAGTTAACTCCTTGGATTTGATACTGAAACTATTACTGTTAGGAAGTGAGTGTTTTAAAAAAATTGTTTTTTAATTTAGTTGGCCTTTATTATATGCGATATTAGCAACGCCTTTCTGTGACTGTATTTTACATTCGTACCGCATCCTATAATACTTTTATACTGAATGCCCAGACTGCATTATCTTGTATGACTACAATATGGCGGAAAGTCAAAAGAGATATGAAATTACCAAGTGTTTAATTGAAAAAAATTTAATTTGATTGCATATAAATGTATGACTATTAGCATGCCAGTTTTATTAACCCGTTAATCCTGACAGACCAAACTCTTAATTAATGTTTTTCGGCATGTACATATGTGCACACGTACATTAAATGATATATGTAGCATTTGCTTAACACAATTTTCTTTATTATTTATTCTAGATATAACGCTGAGTTGACGGCTATGACACAAATTATAAATTAATGTTAGTAATCTTCAGTTTTCTTTTAAATATGTATGTTTGTATGTATGTTTATTACATGACCATGTTTTATTTAAATTTCAATGTTTGTTGACAGCTTTTAATTATTGTTAATAACTAATTACAAATAAACCATTTTATTAAATTTGTCGATTTAGGTAGACAAATAAAACAGTAATTAAATTACAATACATATATGCGCATATATATGATCCTGTGGCATATACATATAAACATAACGTATACATAATTAAATTTACATGGAAACACACATACATAGAGAAGGGTTCTGATATTAACATACTTGAGGATGCTCGTACTCATAACAAACTCTAACAAAAAACAGTTAAAAATAAAAAAAAACATATTACTATATTCCATTTGGGCTGTGATAGAAAAATATTTTAATTAAACTTACTGCTGGAGTAAAAAATTCCTGACAATTCGTAAAGTGCGTACGTAATTATTATTAACCTTAGATGGACTTACTTCGTCGATTTGACTAAACATAATCACGCATTTATATTTTTTTGCAAAATAGACAAACTTTAATTATTCCTTGTTTAAGTTAAACAATAAGATTTATCATATTTTTGTTATATTTTATTATTTAAATGTTACAAAGTTTTCTTTTCATAATTTATTCATAGTTTTGAAACAGCATTAGTTTTAAAATGGCCGTCCAGAATGTCCAGAATGTACTAAAAATAAGTAAGTCCATCTATGGTGAAAAAGCAGAGTTCAAATAACTGCAGCTGTTGTAAGCTTACCAATAGTTACACATATACATAGGAATATTCGGTACAATATTATCAAGCATCAAAAGTTGGTAAAAATACACAATTTTGTCCATTTTAAATGTTGATTAAGATTTTTGATTGGGATTGGTTTAGGATTCCTCGTTGCTTGAAAAACTATTCACTTTAAATCACAATTTACCTATCGGACAAAGATATTATTGTAAAAAAAATATTTCAAGAAGGTCAATAAACTATCCAGTTTATTACAATTTTTAATGAAATATGGTATTTGTAGGATTTCTGAATGCTGGAATTGGTTTCCGCGAATTTCCTATTACCTCTTAAAATTAATTAAAAAACAAAAAAAATAGATAAGAACTTGATGATTCAGTATATTCGTAAGACAGCAAGACAATATCAGTATTTTCACAATATAAGCTTTAGTTTTTGCATTCTACAATCGTTTTTGCATTTTCAAACCTCATATAAGCCATATTTGTAAAACCTCATAAGAATTTAGGAGAACAAATGAACAAAATTCAATTGTATCATTGTAGTGAGAGGATGAATGCTCAAATTATTTCCATGATGCTTTAATGCCCCTACTGCCGCAATTCTATGAATGTATTTGTTAAGATTTTGTTAAACATTTATAAATGTATTATAAGATTTAAAGGTGTTTTTCAATTTATTGTTATAGCTTATATGGCCATCATATTATATATAAATAGTTTTCCACTTTTTCACTAATGCATAGTTTACATATATGTTATTTAAATCATTCTTATTTTTGTTTGTATATAAATTAGGGACTTAAACATAATAAGACAAAAATTTGTTATAGTGTTTTGTTTACTTTTTTCATTACTTGATTTATAAAGTTTATTACGCAATTTTTTTTTTGTTTACTTTTAGGTTTGCCGTGATTTTTTTTTATTTTTTAAATGCTTTAACTTTATTTGACTTCCTTTCATCAGGATCCACATTCTGAAGTTTATGTATTATACGCAAAAGAATATGTATTTACTTGTTGACATACATGATTACAATGATACCTTTTTCTTTTACAAAGTGCAAACGACTGACGCAATACGGTGTTGGCGCACTCCTGGGAGTTTCATCAGTTGCACTCACCACTGAAATACGATTTTAACTAAGTTTAATTTACGTACGTTTTAAACTGTAGCTGTAACCGGAATTCTGACTAAACAACTGACTATCAGCGGGCCCATCGTTTTCGTTTTCATTTACTTCTTTTTTTTGTTTCAATTTTCCATTTACACTAATAATATTCTTGTATGCGTGTGTATGTCTATTTGTATGTTGCTGCGTATGTCTGCGGTTTTCTTTTTTTTTTTGTATAATTTTAGTTAATAAGTATATAGCAATATAAATAATGTTGTATATAAAGTTCTTTGTTGTTGTGGTCTACGTTCTAGTCAACTAGCTGCGCCCACATATTCAAAACGTCCGGCACTCATTTTATATTAACCACAGAGGTAACACCGAACCATTTACATTAGATCACAATGTAGATGATGGGTGAAACACTATCCGCAGACTGCGCAACCGTTGACCTGACCCCACCCCACCCTTTAATGCATTTGAAGTTCTTTTTAGTTCCATACACGCAAGAAGGAGTCCCACGATCCTGTTGCCACCGCCATGCCGTTTTCAGTGACGCCCAAACAGGATACACGGTTGTCGTGACCGGCGAGTATACCAGACCGTTCAGCTTTCATCGTATCCCACACATTGCAGTTGAAGTCGTCATATCCCGCTAATAACAGACGTCCGCTCTTTGAAAATGCCACAGAGGTGATGCCGCATATGATGTTGTCGTGCGAATACATGGCCAGCTCCTGATCGGCGCGAATGTCGAAGAGTCGACAGGTTGCGTCGTCCGATCCGGTAGCAAATGCTTGTCCATTGGGGAAAAATGTCACTGCGTTGATATCAGATTCGTGGCCGGGGAAGGTTTGTTTACAGACTCCTTCCCGAATGTCCCATAGCTTGGCGGATGCATCGCAGGCGCCGGATACGAACGTTTTGCACTGGGGAGCTAGCGAGAGTGCCATTACGTCGCCGGTGTGGCCCAGAAAGGAGGTGACCTGCAGGCCGGTCTCGATGTCCCACAGACCGCACGACATGTCTCCTGAGCTGGTCACTATCTGATTGTCGTCCAGGAAGCGGCAGCATGATAGGTAGCCACCATGGCCCGGCAGCTCTCGAGACACACGAACATTACCCTCTCGCGTCTTTAGGTTGTAAATTGAACACATGTTGTCGAGGCCCCCGCAGGCCACATAGCTGCCAGATGGAGCGTACGCACAGGTCATCACCCATGAGGATCGTAGTGGAATGGCGTGGACTTTGTTCGTGGTATGCGAGTCCCACACGATTAGCTTACCGTCCTGTGAAGCTGACACGAGGTTCCTGGAGTCGTTGCCCCAGTGCATGGCGTAGATTTTCGCCAAGTGGCCGCGTAATGTACGCCGGGTGCGCATCTGTATGCGGCCAATGGGTTCCAGAGAGGCGGCTGCTTGCAACAGGGATGTGTCGCAGGCGGCCTTCCGGGCATCCCGTATGGCATTTTTTAGGGATTCGGCTTCCTGCCTGAGACTGTCTAGTTCATTCATCTTTTATCGTTGAGACCTCTGTATCTGATCCTTGCTTCTTCGATTCGGATTTGTGTATATTTGTGCAGCCGGCGTTCTAGATCCTGTGCTTTTCCCCACTCGCTTAGCCTTGCAGATGCAGTCGTCGCAGCAGAAGTGCTATAGTATCGAAAGTAAACAAATGTTTTCATAAACCTAACATTGAGAGTTGGGGAGATATACTCACGCAAATTTTTTTAAGCTGGCCAGAAGCTTATGTGAATGAAAAGCTTTTTATGATCACGCTTGCATACGACGATTATTTTGTGCACTGTCTAGTATGGATAAATCAACCGATTCTGCAAGAGTTTCGTTTTAGTTGGGTTTGGTTTTGGAATACTATTCACGCATTCTATTCTTGTGCATTAATTCTGACGTTTGTCCTCTGTTCTGCCAATTGAATTATTTGGTTTTTGGTTTGGGTTAATACAGTAGTAATGTTGCTGTAGTTGTATGAATGTGCGGTTGGTGTATTTAGATCCCTGTAGAAAGTTTGCTTTGTTAAATATACTTTGCGCTCATACTGTAACTATGTATAGTGGGGTATTCGGAATCGGATTCCTATAGTTATAGTTCCTGTGATTCGTAAGGTTGGCGAAATAACTGTGCAGTCGGATATTCTTTTTTTTCGCTAGTTTCACCAACCTTGTTTCGAGCAGTCTCCTGCCTTCCCTTCGTTTCGGTTTGTTTAAATTGTAATTGTCTCGGATTTTAATTACGAATTACGGTCCTAAGCCTGCGCCGCTCTGCTCTGCTCGGTTGCCTTCGTTTATTAAAAATGTTGTTATGGATTTTTAAAAAAAATTATCTTGTGTACAACAAGATGAAAATACAAATTTTTCTTTATGTTGCCCGTCCTGTCCTTTGGATTTCTCGCCACTGTTGGATAGAGGATAGGATATTCCTTTTGCTTTTTTTGTACACCAAAATTGCAATTTTGCACCACCACCGCTGCGTATACGCCGAACTGATGGGAGTAAGCAGCACGACCAGTGGTACGCGCCGTGCGCAATTGAAAGCGCGGCAGCAAAAGCAGGTCAGAAGTCCCCGAAAGCAGGCGGTGAGACAAAAACAGTAGAGATGAATATTTGTCGCATTCGCACCAATGCCGATAGCGTAAGCGCACACATGACAAAGAGTAAGAAAGAAATAGATAAAAAAAATAATCAATTTTAAACGTTGAATTTTTTTTTACGGGAACAAATAAATCATTTTGTATGCCGAAAAACCGTGTACAAGAACTCGAAACTGGGCCCTGATAATCATATATGTAAGCGCAAAATACTGGGACTGCATCTTCATACCTCGAGCATGAAAATTTTCATTTAGCACATACACACACATTACCATAGATCAGTAATTTTTCTATCAATTTTCATTCACAGGACTGATTACGGTGACGAGAATCGTTACTTACACGCAAAGTTAACTTTTATACGCAAAACAAATTCCCGTCTTCAACTACACAAATAACTGAAAATTTTGTTAACGAAGCCACCAATCTGTAACTTTTCATTTGCACTCTACAATTGGCAGCCAACACCTAGAAACAAATTAAGGGTGTAAGAAAAGAGTATCGATGTACTCGGAAGTTATCGATAGTGTGGATACATATCAGGAACATACTAGATTCACACTTTGGAAGAAGAGGCAATTAAATCGTATACCGATTTATTGCTTTTTATATTTTTTTAAATTTGTTATGGTAATTTAATATATAAAGTGTAATTTTTGCCTCTATAAAAAACATGGATTTGAAAAAAACGCAATTGACGGGTTTGCTTTGCTTTCAAAAACCATTGATAAACATTTCTAATTGGTTTTGGGGTCGAAAGGGCTGGTATATATAGATTAATCGAATTGTTATCACCTAAGAACTACGAATTTTTTTTAGGCACGCTTTGCAGTTGCGAATATATATTTTAATACGAGTTCCATTTTTATACAGTATATTATTTTATAATAACAAAATCAAAACGAAAATAAAAGTGTATTTGTATTATGTATTTTTGGAATGGTCCGTATCAAGAATTTCGAATCTAGTTGAGATGCTACGTGCCGGACGGTTCTTTATAATATCTAGCCGACGGTTTTTCCGTGCAAAAGGTCTCTAAAATATTATGAAAATGGTGAAATCTGTTGATTTTCAGTTTAGTTCAATGTTTATCAATTTATCAGTAGCAAGAACCAAAGTTTCACATCTGACAAAAGTCGCTGTGGGATTGTCGTATATTAAGGCGTTCAAAAATAGACATATCGATTCATCGATATCATTAATTTTTGTTACACATCGATACAAATATACCCACTGCTGTACGGGAAATGAATCACGAGAAAAAAGATTTGTACATTTTTATCTGTATTTATTTATTTTATGAAATATATAAAATTCGTTGCTTTAGGAACATACATATCAAGGCTTAAGTAATTGAAATTGGAACCGATTCTAATCGATTTGTGTCCTTTTTTTACGGGGGTAGTTTTGGTATATCGCTCAAATGCCGCCAGGTGTTAAAAAGTATTTCAGATCTCTCCAATTGTGGTCACACTATTGCCGTTGTTATTGATAATTTAGTTTGTATATATTGTTCTATAAATATGTTTAAGTTGATTTTTAAGCAGTATAAGACGAAAAGTAGTAGTCCTGATTTAACGGATGTGATTAATGTTGATGATATTGACATTAAGCAGAATGATCCACAAAAAAATACTAATGTGAGTTCTCGAACGGACCGAAGAGACCTGTTGCAATGGCGATTGAATATGATTTCAATCTTTTTCTACTATCACAGAATGTTCAACGTTTAATTATCAGCAATGAACAAAATGTTCAGCTGATTCCCGGCATTAAAAAGCCAAGTGATTGGCGAGCTTATGCACTGACGCATCATCCGGGAATTATTATTATTCGAAACCCATTTACAGAGCGTGGTCAACGATACTGGACTGCTCGATGTCTACGGGACTACCCACGAAAACCGAATATTGTTAATTTGAATGAAAGACTCTTTAATGATGCAGTTAGATCGGACTGGTGGAAACAGCTTGATCAGTGCAACGATAGGGACGAGTTCCAACGGATAAAAGCGGCAATGCGCTGGACAACATTCGGATATCATCACAACTGGGACACGAAGCTATACGATGAGCAAATGCAGTCACCGTTCCCAGAGGACTTGAGCATTTTGTGTCGTTTGTTTGCAAACGTGTTGGGCTACTGTGATTTTAAACCGGAAGCTGCTATAGTAAATTACTATCCAGTTGGTAGTACTTTGTCCGGACACACGGATCATTCTGAACCTAACAAATCGGCCCCATTGCTATCGTTAAGGTAAAATACATGAATAAGAAATTAACTTCGCTCACTGACTTTGATTTTATATTCATCACACAGTTTTGGGCAGACCGCGATTTTTTTAATCGGTGGACCGACTTTAGACGAAAAGCCTACAGCCCTTTATCTTCAGTGTGGTGACGTTTTGATAATGTCCGAAGAATCGCGCCTGTGCTATCATGCAGTACCCCGTATAATCAAAACTCAGAAAAATTGGAATTCTAAGCTGACAAATGAAGATATCGATGACGCAGATAATGGTTCAAATCTGTTGGATATGGATTTATTTCAGAAAGTAGGCGACTCCAACTTTTGGCAACCTTTTTCTAATTATATTTATGATTCACGCATTAATATTAATATACGTCAAGTGTTAAACCCAGGGGACTTAAAGTTAAGTTAAAATAAAAAAATGTTATTTATTAATTATACTCTGCTCGGCAGCAATGTGTAAAGATTGATTGGGAGAAATTTGAGCTTAAATAATGTTATTTTTACAAGGCTTGCCGAAGTTTTCTTGGTTTTTTGCTTTGAATAACTCGAAGTACGATTTCGCATTTAGATCAGTTAATTTGCGATATCTTATCCAACACCAAATAACTGTTTTGTTGTTATCGAGTTAAGGGCAGTTTTTGTTTTCAAAGGCTTAGCGTAGGAAACTAGTGATGGGCAGAAGTAGGGTTAAGTAGAGTTTTGGCCGATTATGTGGATTTCTTGGAAAATAATTTAATACATAGTACAACATTCTAATACATTACAATTGGTAACCCTCCGCTACAAGTTTGAGTTTAAGGAGTTAGCACAATGTGGACAGGAAAGCAAACTCGATAGCAAACTTGAGGCAGTGTGGATAGTTTATTTAGCATTGGAATATACTTCTTGCGTCTTGACATATGAAAACAGGTTTTCTAATTTTTACTATATTCATAATATAAACAATAATAAAAAAATAATTAAACTTATTTATCCATAAAATGTTTTCAATACGCTAAGTACGCCTATTGCGAAAATCTAAAAATATAAAATATTAGCATTTACTGCCAACCGATTGGAAGTTTTATTACTTTTTGTACATGGTATGACATTTCCCGACCCTTTCTACTACTTTCTTTTTAGTAGTTTTTTAACAATATCGAAATTAATTATTTTTTACCAGCTATCGGACTCGATTTTGTTATCGAGGACGTTAGTGGACGCTTCTCAAGTGGAAACAAGCCTAGTTCTTTAATAAGTATTTTTCTCGAATGGTTTTGATATTTTGAAGAATGGAAAATATTAACGGTAAACCACGGTCATACTAAATACCATATTTTAAAATAATAAACGATACGACGCCGTGAAATTACAGTGAAACAACGTGAATAATTTTATAGAAACGCAAATGCGAATATATTTATATTTGCAGTTGATATCTGAAATAACTGTGACCTTATAATACGTACATACATACATGCAAGCGCGAGTTCTCAGTTTTATATGCTGGCCTAGAGAATGTTCAGCATAATTACAATTTCGTGAACATTTCCCCCAGCATATTATTATTTTGGATGGATGAGCATGTCTATGAACAGACCCTCGAAAACCTGTAGTCTGGAAGTAATAAAGAGCACAACTGGAGTTGGAAATTTGAACGAAACGATTGATCGCACCGAATATGATGCGACGCACCCAATATTGCGCAGTGATCACAGTCATCAGGGTGAACTGGTCCAATGCTTGACGTGCCACAAGCATTTCAAGAGTTTCTCCTTTAGCGACATTTGCGCACACTATAAATTCACGCACAGCAACAAGAATTCTAGTTTCGCCGATAATTCGTACAAGTGTTTGTACTGCAAGCGCGACGTTCATTATTTCCAGCGCTCCGAGAAGAATCCCGAAATATTTCACTTTTGTTCGCCGCGGAAGTAAAGTTAAAGATGGCGAGTGCCAGTGCGAGCAGTGAAAACGGGGACGATCTATTGGTCTACGATGGAAATTCCGAGTCGGAGGAGTCGGAGTATTCAGAGCATGAGGATGGCGATAAGGAATCTACTGGAAACGGCGCACTTACCCTTAATAGTAACACCGATTCGGGATGTCCCCTGGAATCTTCGATGCAGGATTCAAAGTCGGCGGTACAAAAAGGTCAGAATAAGAGTTCGAATAGTATTGGGGCGGTTCATCCGAACTATGGATTTGGCAAGCGGTGGTCGAAATCAGAAGATGTCCTGCTCAAGTCATTGGTGGATAAACATGGGGAGAACTGGGAGGTCATCGGGCCGCACTTCAAGGACAGACTCGAGCAGCAGGTGCAGCAGCGTTGGGCCAAGGTCCTGAATCCGGAACTCATAAAGGGTCCGTGGACGCGGGACGAGGACGACAAGGTGATCGAGCTGGTGCGGAGTTTCGGACCGAAAAAGTGGACCCTGATAGCTCGGTACTTGAATGGGCGCATTGGAAAGCAGTGCCGCGAGAGATGGCACAACCACCTCAATCCGAATATCAAGAAAACAGCCTGGACCGAGGAGGAGGACAAGATCATCTACAAAGCTCACATTCAACTTGGAAACCAATGGGCGAAAATTGCTAAACTTTTGCCCGGACGCACCGATAATGCCATAAAAAACCATTGGAACTCGACAATGCGTCGCAAATATGATGCCGAACGCAGGTCGGTTAATGCATCTGGAAGCGATTTGAAGAGCTCGCGCACTCATCTAATAACGCTGATAAAATCCGGTGGTATCAGTAAAGTACCATATAATTTGCAAAATAAAATAGTTTCTGCTGAGTCAGCAGCAGAATGCCATCCAGCTTCTAAATCCGAACAGGCTGATGGAAATAATGTAAAACCTGAGCTTACCGAGTCCCAAGATTCTTCGGCAGCCGAACATCAAATGAGTTCTCTAGACCTCAACATGCCCCATTCAGTTTTAAAAATGTCGCTTCCGCGTCAAACACCAAACATATTGAAACGTCCTCGCAAACACATTCCCGAAACTCACCTTCAGGCTGGTCCATCAAATGGGGTTTTCCAGGACGAAGTCAAGACCAGGCTACCGGGTTCGCCTGTCATCACGCCGATAAAATCTCTACCATTCTCACCAAGCCATTTCCTTAAGTCGCCATGCCTGACAACATTTGAAGACATGAATTTGCGAGCCAGTACACCAGTGACTAAGGTCTACAATCGTGTTGGAATGGAGATCAAAAAGGAAATGGAAAGTTCATCCATTGAGACTCCACACAAGAGTAAGTATTTACATAATTTATGTGATTTTTAATTCACCGTATAATCAATATCACTTTAATGTAGGTCAACTTGGTCCACGAACACCAACGCCCTTTAAAAAGGCCCTAGCTGCTATTGGCAAGAAAAGGGACGGTCGTCAGTATGAACCGTCTAGCCCGTCTAGCCTGGTGGAAGATTTGGCTGAAATCATCAATGAGGAACATCTTAGCAATTCGCTAACCGCAAACAATTCCAAAGTTATTGGTGGTGATTCGTTCAACTCTGAAAACAACGGAACATGTGTGGGTCAGCAGTCCCCGCATTTGAAACGTGCCAGAAAATCACTTCTTTCGACTTGGAGCTCCAATCACCTTTCCAATGGTAGCACCACTAAAAAGATTCAACCTTTTGAAACTGAGACGCCCAGCAAGTTTCTCACTTCTCCAAGCAATATACTGAAGGACACACTATGCAGCGAACAGGATCTTCCGTTCGACGAAGGCAGGAAGGAAAATAGACCATTCCATAATCGCAAAAACTACAAGTTCCGTGGTGTCTTTGATCCAAAATGGGCACGAGTAGCTTGCGGCAAAACCAAAGATCAACTATTTATGGAGGAGCAAGCATATGCATGTCTTAAAAATCTTTCCTGTATACCGCGTTCCCTAAACTTTGAAAAACCCAAGTGTATGGTAAATTCATTCGATCGTTATGGCTCGCTATAAATTTCTTGTTGCTATATGAGGTATTAAAAAATTGTATAAATATAATTTTTAAAATCATGTAGATATGGTTTCTTAAATTTGTACCAAAATTTGAATATATTTTCAATTCATGAGCAACGCATTTCAAAATAAAAGTTAACGTACTAATTTGACGGTATTATTGGCACTCTGAATTTTTTCCCATTTTTTTCATATTTTTAATAAACAAACAACATAAAAGTAATAAAAACCGTTGAAAAAGAAAATGTTTGAATTGATTTTTAATTTGGGAGGGACCAGAAGTGTTGTTGTTCTTGAAAACAAATCGCGCTCTTTGATTTCAGCAAAACGATGATGTTTTCAAAAAAGGAGGACTATATCTACCAGCACCTATAAAAAATATTACGATAATTTACCTTGCTCAATTTGAGATGGAATTTTGTACGATTTTAGCGGGATATCTTATTCAAAAGCTGTAAAGGTAGTGCACTTTGCCTTTCATAACATGTTAATAATTGTAAATCTGGATGAATTTATAATTTTCCATTTGTCATTTATAATGTGCTTAAATAACATATGCAAATACATAAATGCTGGCTTAGCTCATTCTTAAGCTAAACTCCAATGAGTAACTAAGAAAGATACAAGACAGGCTCTAATTTAATTTTAGTTAGGTACAAGTATCTAGGTAATCGCCAACACTGCTTGAGGTATATTCAATTTATATCTCTGTTTAATATGTCCACATATTTGGGAACAAGTTGCTGTGCCGAGAAAGGATCGAAATTAAACGTCTCAAAAAACTGATCGCGATGCTTGCGAAAGGCCCGGGGATTTTTGCACCAGTTGCGAAGCTTTTTGGTGAGCGCGTTGGACGTGTTGTAAAGGTTGTCCTTTGGATAGATCTCGGGGTACACCAATTTATTGGGGACAATCGGATAACAGCCGCAAAAAGTAGCCTCCAGCATTGCCACGCCAAAAAACTCGTGGTCGGCAGTTGAAATGACAATGTCACCGGCGATAAGTGTCTTCAGATAGTCCTCTCGTTCCAGATGGCCAAAGTTAACGAGCTTGGTGCCCAGCTTTTCCTTTATATTGTCGAAGGCCTCTGGAGTCTCCTGGCAGCTCTCGCCACAGATGGTCACCTTGAAGTTCACATCACTTCTATTGAGCTCGCAAAGGACCTCGACCAAGAGCATTGGATTTTTATCGTGCTCCCAGCGATGTGGCCATATGAGGTGCAGGCACTCTTGATCCCGATCCTTATCCAAGTCAGTATCCCCGTTGCCGGGGTGATTCATCGTCCTCTTTGGCATTTTGTCAAACTTGACAGGGAAGTACAGTACTTGACATTTCTTCTCAATTTTCTCCCGAATCCGCTTCAACTTGAAGTCAGGCTGAATATTGAGAAACGGTTGCACATTATCCAAAAAGGATGTGTGATTAAATTGAGAATTGAAGAGCACAATGTCCGCGGCTAGACTGAAAGGTGTACAATTAGAGAAATTACATATTTACATGGGAAGAAAGGACCTGATCGAGTGGCTCACCAGGAAAGGATCTCGTTAAGTCCGTACTGACAGTCCCGCTTCTTTACCTCGCGCACCGGATAGACCAGCTGGTTTTCGTGAAAGTAGACGATCTTCCGACACTGGCAGAGATCAGGTCGCACTCCAATCAGCTCGGCTAGACTCAAAACGGAGCTGGCAAACAGCACCCTGTATTCGTGATCGATGGGTATCAGCTGCGAAAAATACAATGCGGAGGTGCGAGCTCGCCAGTGCCATTTCTTAGCGGGAAGGCTGAAAAGCTCGTAATCTGCCGGGCAGAGACCTGCGAAATATTACGAGAGGTCAGTAACTCTGACAATCCCGTTCTAGTGACATACCCTCGATCAGTGTGCTGATCAGCTGTTTGTGGCTGCCTCCGTAAAACGGCTCGATAATCAAAATATGCGGTTTGGCGGACGACATGACTTTGGACAGTGTGACCGTGAAAAAGTACAAAATAAATAAAACCCTTTGATTTAAAAGAAAATCCAAGATATTTTTCAAGTGTGCAATTAAATAAGTTTCAGTGGCTCTATGTTTATTAATTTACTCAATTAAAATAGGTTTTTGTGATACAATAGAATAGAGTACTAAAAAAAGCGCAATGCCAATTAAAATCATCATAATGCATTAACTTTATAAGGTTTAGTAATCAAAATGCATAAATAACGTAATTTTCGGCGTTGCAAGTAACTGGCAACCGCTTAATAAAATTATCATCAGGATCAGCTGTTTGGACACAGGGATGGCGAGACGAGAAAATACTGACAAGTGAAAACGGCGACTATTTTTGCAGCTTATTTCGCTCATTCGTTGGTCACACTGATTTTATAAATGCAAAATGAGTATGTATAAGTATTTACCATCGTGTCGTTATAGGAAAATTAAAAATTGTGTCATCTCGGGCAAAGATTACTGCTGAAAAAACTAAGTAAAACGCAAGAACATCGCAAATGAATCATGGTTTGCCTGTAGATTATTACATTCTTTCGAAATAAAAAGTTAAACACAAAAATTAAGCTTGAACGCGCAAGCTCTTATATATCCAATTCCATCTATCTACTTGTGTGTATATGTATAAAGGCATTAATATAAAATTAAGAAAGGAAGTTTAGCATAAGCAATTATAGATGTAATATATGTATGTGTATACAAGTGTACGTATTCGTAATCTATACTGCTTTACTCTATTTTAGTGTCTGGACATTAGGCATAACACATATTAGTGCGCAGGTATTGGAAAAACATAAAAAAAAACAATCACAATAGTTTCAATCGGAAAAAAAAAAACATTTCACAGAAAGTCATTTGAAAAACAATCCAACGAAAGCCAATTAAAATTCTAGTGTTGAACCGAGCGATGTAGTTGAATTACATATGTACATCCACACATATGTATGATTGCAATGAAAATAATCGAAAGTTGCACCAATTTGTATAAGGAAAATGATCAAAAGTTGGGAATAATAAAATGGCTTTTGCAAATGATGGTTCCGATTATTATTGCCAACCCGAGAAGCTACCCCTTCGGAAATATACTGTGCAGTTAGAGAACTGCACGTTCATATAAACAGAGTGAATTGCTGAAGGGTAAAAAGCTACTCGCCATGTCGTTAAGGTCTTCGATTGAAAAAACACCCACAACGGCTGCAGTTCAACATCAACAAAAACAACAACAACAACAACAAGAGCACACCACCACAACCGTCGCAATTGTAGCAGGTCAACAAAAGCGGAAGTCGCTCAATTCCAAGCGTTCGTACTCCCTATCGTCGAGTGGCTCATCTACAGCATCCTTCGGAGCCACAAGGTCCGCGACGTCACCATTGGTAACCGTAACCGAGAAGAGTCCTGCGAATCAAAATACCAATACAACTACCCAGGCCCAAGGCTTCTTGCCCTTCTCCTCGTTTTCGTACTGCACCGACACCATTGCAGCAGTGCATCACCAGCGCCAGTCCTACGCCCTGGTGCAGAAGCCCCCATCGTTGCGATACCAAGGGAAGCCACATCCACATCAGCACCAGCACCAGCTCCTGGCCAACTTCTCGCCCACAATGACATCCTCGGAACCGTCGTCGCCCCTGGCCGCCGATGGATCTGCCTCGGTCCTCGGCCCCTCCTCAGAGGTCCCCTCTTCGCATTGTTGCGCCAATGTCAAGGCCAGTATCACTCCGTTGGCAACACAGAAAATGCACCGAACAATACCATCTGATAAAGTAAGTCTTACGTTGCCCGTACACATATATCAGAGGGTATTATATATTACTATACCAAATACTTAAACATATAAGGAAGTCGTCCCTTCAATTTATTAGAAATAATTGTAATTTTTCAGGGCGGTGCAATAATAACAAAGCTATAAATGCAACCTTTCTGATGTTCAAATTCCAAGGTTGACTTTATTTATTTCCTTTTTTCTTTTTGCATTTCACCCTCCTCGTTAATTCTTAATTAACATAGTTACACATGAACCATTTTAGATTCTGCGAACCGGAGAACATTAAACTTTTATCAGGCTAGTTCTAGAGGGGGTATTTCGACACATTCCAATCAAAATAAATAATTAATGCGCCTTCACCAATTAAAGCTGAAGAAATTGCGCACTGGATTTGTATGAACTAAGACTTGTTTGATGGAACTCGAACCAGATTGTTTTTTTTTAAATTAAATTTTTTTATTCCTGATTAGGACTAAAGAAAAAATATTGCTTTTTTAACTGAAGAACCTACTTAATATTTAACAATATTTGAATTTAATAAAATGTATTGTCTGTATTTTCAGATTAACCTACGCCTAATACTTGTTAGTGGTAAAACAAAAGAATTTATTTTTAGCCCGTCAGATTCCGCAGGTGATATTGCACAAACAGTATTTGATAATTGGCCAGAAGGTGAGTACATAGTGTTAATGTTCACTAACTTACTATTAAAGACCAGAAATCGGGTCTTAACTTGTTGAAGTCGTTTTGTATCCTTTATCCTTTTCCAGTTGTTCAATCATTTATATGATCTTACAGAAATAATTTCCAATTCATTTTCCTCGTTTTAACGTTGTTATTGACCGTGAAGTCGTCTAATTCGAACGCCGCACTGGTTTTTCCTTCCTATTAGTCTAATTGGATGCCAATTATACTTAAATTATATATACCCTGGGTTTTACAGCACTCAAGTTATCCCAGGCAAAAAAGCAAAGACATTCTTTTAGAAGATCTGTAATGCATATTTTAATATTATTCTTTAACTTTCTAGATTGGACTCACGAAACTGTAGCGAAAGCCGAAATCTTGCGTTTGATTTATCAAGGTCGTTTTCTTCATTGCAATGTAACCTTAGGAGCACTGGGACTTCCATTAGGCAAAACGACTGTTATGCATTTAGTGCCACGTGATAATTTGCCAGAGCCCAATTCGCAAGGTACGTTTATTAAATATATGTATTTGCCTTAAAATCAGATAGTAATTGACAGAGAAGAGTCGAATTTTAAGAATTTTAAAAGTTCGTAGCTATAACTCCAGTTTTATATCGAACAAGGGACAAATTTGTAAAGGTAATCGATACCAAACTCGTAATATTTACTCAATATTTTCCCTAGAGACAAATAAATTAGAAAGCAACAAAATCTTTGACGGTTTTCGCGACGTTTGGTTTGAAATCCAAACAAAACTTTTATGTCCCAGGTGAAAAACAGAATTTATTTATCGCACCGAGATCCGAGAAAAACCTGGTTGATTTTCAATAGAAAAGGAACGATTTTAAGTCGGCTGCTATTAATTACTTCCTAGGACTTTTAAATATCATTTTACTAAGAAATATATGACAATCGCATGCACAGAAACAATTAACGTTTTGTATTCTTGTAATTGAGATAGGCTAAGTTATGTCTTCTATTTGTTTTTAATTTGATGTTTCTCTTTTTTAGATCAAAGACAAAATAGTAAAGGCGGTTCTGGACGATGCTGTTCAACAAATTGCTCTATTTTGTAACTAAATTATTATGTAATAGTATAATATTTAAATTAATTTGAATTATAAAAAATAAAAAATACATGTATAAATTACATTTTTGTGCAGTCAAAAAAAGTATATTTATTAAAATATAAAAATGTATGTCTGGAAGAACAAGGCGCTTTGTTTAAAATATTTATGTACATACAATATATATTTTATATATATACACACAGGAATTCACGAGCATGTGCAAAATGCGTATACTCTGTATTAAAGTTGCTAGACTGCATATTTATAACATGTAATATACGAATACAATGCTAATTGCTTTTAGAAATCGGACTTGTTAACCTAATTAGAAAAAGAGTAATTACAAAACTTATTTAAAATATGTCAAAAATATTAAAAAAATCCAAGTATGTGAAAAAAAAATAATTTCCCTATTGCGTTCTGCTTTTAAGTGTGCGTCTATAAAAAATAAAATCAGCAATTACTTGTCGGATCGATTCTTTAAAACGATAAAGAATATTGAAGAAATTTTTGTTCTGTATATAAACATATTTAATTAGAATTTAAGTGTTTTCTTCTGTTAAGTTTTAAAATATTATCTGTAAAGTCTAACTTAAAGTCAATGATAAATAAATAATCTAATATATCCTTAAGCTTATTTTATATTGGGCATTTGTGAAGTCAAAGTGTAATTTTTAAGGTGTTGTGTTTTCGTGGGGGCAATTTTCTAAAAATTCCTCTTGGGCTCAAATATGTTAAATATACATATTTAGTGTGGAATTGGATCTCTGACTAATTTATTTACTACTGATACTGAAATACTACTATTCGAAATTGAAAACTTTCCACAACATCTCTATTATAAGAAAATCTATGTTAAAGTACTCGGTGTTGTTTGCACGTTTCAAGATTTAAAAACAACTAAATTCTTCGTGGCTAGAGCTTAAATATAGATTAAAATTTTAATTTAAATCATCAACTTTAATATTAGACAACCATAACGGATTTCTTATTTAAGAATTGAAGTGTTTTTTAAAGCTTTATGCGTCATAATTTTTATCTGTAGCAGCTGTTATATTTCATTTGGCCCCATCAGATTATTTCCGTTTTAAATACAAAAATAAATGTTTTAAGTGTGGGACAACTGGGAATAACTAAAATTTAAACTATATTAAACTATATATAAACTTAAATTATAACTATAAATTTAAAAAAAACGGCTTTTTTGTTCCATTACCATCATTCCAGTTTTGTCTAAAAATATCGACGATATTTTGCCAGACACTAAAAAAGTATAAATAGTATTTTCAGCAAGTCAGTATATTTAAACACATTCTTTTTTGTGGTCACACTGTTTAGATTCTGAAAAAGAATATCTTATTATTTTTTGTGTAGCGTGAATATATTTCGAATAATCCGATCACAATGACTGCCTGGAGAGCTGCCGGAATTACGTAAGCCTTACATAAATGTCTGTCACAATGCGTTGTGATAGTCCCCATTTACAACGAAACCACATTCAGTGCAGTGCCGAATTACATAACATAATTAATAAAAATATCTTTGATTGCAGCTACATCCAATATTCCAACATCGCCGCTCGTATTTTGCGAGAGTCCTTGCGGAAGGAACTGCGTGTGGATGCCGCCAAACGCGACGCCAGCCATGTAAAGTTCACACCCTGGGCAAATGGCAAACCAGCACGTAAGTATTATCCTTTAAGTTTTGGGCAATTTAGGCAAGGTGATTGACCTGCAAGGCTGCAAGCATTATATAAACTTAAATAGGACATTAATGGGAAATTAGCAAGTTGATAAAAAGCCTTCATAAAAAGAATATGCCAGATTTTTTTTGTAGACAGTCGTAGTTTAAGAGCAATTTTCTATTCCTCATGGTAAGCTAAAAGCTTAGTACTTAAAAACCTTAGCTTAACATGAATACGAGTAAAATAGCCTTAAATTGCTTAACCTTTTCTAAATGATGATAAATGATTGTCAAATTCAGAAAAAAATAAAAGATGATAATACCCACTAACTCTGTTATAAAAGTAATAATTTAATTTCAAAATTTGTCTAATATTTAGGTAATATTTTCTCTAATTCTCTTATTGTTTCGGGTTATACTCGAAACAAAATCCAAATCGCGAATAAAATGCCAAAATAACAATTGATTTACATGGTAGCCTCTTTATCAGCTTTTGATCGCTGACATATTAACATATACTCATACTCCCAAAATTCTAAAAGTTTCACCCCAAAATCTTGGAACATTTTTCGACATACACGAATTCATAAGTGCACAAATAAAAATATTCCGCTGTCGGACTCTAACTTGGCATTAGGTTTATGGTTGGGTTTGATTTATATTTCATATTTATATGTTTTTCAGATGAAAGGGCTTGAAAGTGTTCTGTCGACAGTTAAATAATTTCCAAACTGGCGTAAGTGCCTGCTATTTGCACGGCTGAACCCAACGTTCCCAATGTTTGCATAAAAGAAAGCCCATGTGTTTAACATTGTTTTCAAAGTGCCTAACTATGTTTCAAACTGATCAGCATGTACATGCGACGTTTTGATATATTCCAAAATTTCCGATCCAAAGTTTACGACCAACCAACTAATAACAATGTTTATTTATATAATGAAACTATTTACAAATGCCATTGTTTGATTTGTTATTTTCCCTTGTCCACAGAGCGCCAAACCACCCAATCGGAATCGTAGATGCTTTTCAGTGGCCCCGAAGAATGATTTGCACCTGTAGTAACAACTGACAACGCTGCAATAGTTCTATTAAAATGAAAAAATTTAATAAAATTTGAATTGTTCAAACAGGGCTGTTGTGTTAATTTTTGAACATTGGGAGATTCTTTAATAATACTCCTTTTAAGGCGGGATCCCATTCAAAGTCCCTTAGATCTAGGCACTATTTAATATTTAAATAACTTATAAATTGCTCTCCAAAGCAGCATTCGTCATAAACTGAAACTTTTAAGTGAACAGTAATGGAATTGCTACCGCATCTCAGTAAATTTTAAAAAGTTTCATACACACTGCTGAACCAATTAAATTGTTACTTGTATTTTGCGCTTTACATATAGACATTATTTATGTTAATTATTATCCAGTTAGTTTAGTTTAATTTAAATATATATTTTTTAAGGTAGAGTATTTTGGATTATCATTCAAAAATTATCGTTTTGCTACCACTAAGACCGATCAAACTGCTATTGAAGTGCTAAAGAAATTGCAGCATTTGTATGTTGATGATGTCGTACTGTTTTTCATGTCATCGGATGGGACCTTGCAATCGCTGGCGGTACTGCAGTTTCCATCTTAGATCATAAGTCCTTTAGAATGGCACTCTTAGCATTTTTCAATTTATCAAGGCGTTTCAATAAGTGGTTGTTTGACGTTTCGGCTTCTTCCAGTTTTTCCAAAAGTTCCCGATGCTAGCATGTGTAAAAAAAGAATTAATTAATGATTGAAATTGTATAGACACGCTTATAGTATCTTAATTTGTAACTGATGGAGATTCCATTACATACCTCACGTTGAAGCTTACGGCGCTCGACTTTTAACTCAGCCTCTGCCTTTTCGGTGGCTTCCGCAGTGCTTTTGTATCGTATTACTTGAGTTTCTGAACGGGCTAAGCTCGATTGTAAATTGGCGATTTCCTGTTCAGCCTTTTGCAGCTTATATTTATAGTCTGAAATGATTTTGTTTGATTCCCCTGTCGGATAATATAAGAATAAGACTCATAATATAATACAAATATTTTGCAGCGGTATTTAACCGATTTGCGATAAAGAAACTTGTTATTTTAAGTAAAACGAATGAAATTCATTTGAAAACAACCAAATAAAAGTAGAATATTTCGAGGCAGATTTCTTGCGTGATATTTAAAATAAAAATTCCAAGAAATGATTTGAAGAAAAAAAAAACCAGATATCTTTTTCGTAAGTATCTTGACCTGGACATTCAGCACACCGAAACCTTTTGGGAATGTATACCTTTCGTCAATTTTCATTGTTGCAAAAATATATTCTCACTATCTTTCTAAGTATATAATATATTACAAAATATTAAACAAAATGCGATGTGTTTTATAGAAGAAAACTTAATACAAAAAAAATAAAATCTGGCAATAAATAATCGGCTCCATCTATGTAAGTATATAATAAATAGGTTTTAATTTACATTTAAACTATATCAAAAGTCGCTGAATTCAAATAATGGTTTTATAGTAAGGATCAAGTAAAATATTTTGTATAAAACTTTATTTGTGATTACTTAAAAAAAATTAATGTGATGGATTACACATAAATGCAACAAAATGTTCAATAGAATCAAATATAGGGATGATTTGCCACTTTTTAAATTTTGTTTTACCAAAATTATTAAAAAAATTAAATGGGAAATCTTAATACAGGAAAAATACCGGCGAAATGCGACAAAATAATTATAAAATTAGAAATCTTTTCATTTAGAAAATAAACAACTCATAACATATTAATATTCTTGTGACGTCAGATTGCTAATAATTCAAAGACAAGCAGATCAGGAAGACTTTTTATGCGGAAAAAATAGTTGTCGTTATGTAATTTTTGTAAACATACGTTGGGCCTCGTAATCATTTTCATCACCAAAGGAACCTTGCGAAGAACTGCGACGTCCAACGATTCCATCACTTTTATACTCCTCAAGCTGTTCGTGAAGCTTATGCACTTCAGATAGCAGTCGTTGTTTTTCGTCGCTAAACTTTTTAAGTCTTACATCTGAAATGAAACGAATTAGTAAGAAATGATCCAGGGGCATGGCTTTTATTACAAGAGTGACAATCACCTAAGGAACCCTGAACGGACGCCAAAACTTTTGCATTCTCGACACTCACTAGAGCTCTTTTAGCATCGCTACCATCGGCATTTTCAACTGCTACAATCAGAAGGCCTTGTTCGGCAATCAATGAGTCGCGCTCATTTAATTGTCCTTGTACTAGCTTAAGCTCAAGATTGGCGCGGTCCAAGTTTCGTTTAAGGGCGTTGCAGTCACGCATCTTCTCCTTAAACTCGCGCTGCAGTTGTGCAAACGACTCTTCCATGATTTCGCACTTGTCTTTCAGCAATTTGACTTCGTAAGCCTGTGAGGCACGATCGTTGTCCAACTGGGCATTCGTTATCATGGCTTTTCGAAACCGTTCCTCGACATCCTAAAAAGCAACAAATATTTACTAAAATTGCAAATAGAAAGGAAGTCCCACTACATACCTTAAGCTCGTGCTTGAAGTCGCGAAAACTTCTTCCTTCTTCTTCCACGGAGTCCTCACTACTCCGCCGGGATGCTGAGGCACGGGTTACATTTAGGAGTCCACCGTAGACGAGGCGTACGGGATGCACCGAAAGTGGTTCGCTTCCCACTGCAGTGGAGTTCTGCATGTCAAATACACGGTCAGCGGTTATTTCCTGTTCCTTCTGCTGTCGCTCGAGCTCCCTCATCCGAATCTCGCGGGCTTCAGCACGCGCTTGTCTACGTGCGGCAAGTCGGGCTTCGGCCTAAGAATAGCGTTTTAATTGAATAAAGTACTTGATATATTTAATACACCTGTTTATATATAGCCTTTAAAGGCTGTTATTTTTACAAAACCCGATATAAAAAGTGCATATATATAGTAATACTTGCCTCTTTTGTAATTTGATCCAGCGCATTATCTTCCGCATTGATCCGCATGTTGTTCCGTCGACGACCAGTGGTGCTAATATTTTCCATTGAATCTGAACTTAATTAAACTTATTTCCTTTATATATATCGTCGTATAAAGCGGTCGGACACTAATAAAATAAAAAAAAACTTGTTTTATTAAATACTGGATAAGCGGAAGTAAAAAATCTCTGTTACTTAAACGTATCTGTGTATCTACTTAGATTTAGTTCGTTTATACGAACAGACTTTCGGACAAACAGATATGGCTTAATCGGTTTGGCTGATGATCCTAATTCCTATTTATAATAATGAAATACGATGTAGCTGTAATTTTTCGGTATGAGTTTTATATCGGATACATATGATTCGATGAAATAATGTTGGAGATATCTAAATATGTATGTACATTTGGGTAGAAGATTTTGTTGTGGAATAAATTAATTCGAAAACCAAAAACTTTTTAAGTTTTAGGCGTTGCGCAGTGTTCTCAAAGTTTCCATACAAATTGCTAACATCTCACGTAAGCTCAGTATGAAAACATTTTGTAATCAAAGATCACCGTGCGTATGAGTGATAAACAACAAACCCCATAGTATAAGCTGGGAGGAGTAGGAACTTAAAGTCCGGATACTATAATATTGGAAATTACTGTTTTGGAAAAAGGTTTATTTAAAAAACTAGCAATTTATTTAATTATCCAAAAAATCTAGGGATTCATTTTTATTTGCAATATTGCAATGCAATAAAAGGTGCCATTAATGGACAAAACAATTACATTAATGGACATAATTAATAACAAACTATATTTTAGAACTCCAAGGAATGCAAATCGGGGACTGATTAGAAACCAATTTTCAATAGTAAACAATTTGGAATGTAAATAATGATAATATGGGAATGATATGAAAACCTTATCATGGGACCACAACTTGTTATCTAGTAGGACGACTCACTTATGTAAAAATTGGGGTATGTATATATGTACATACACACATAGGCAACAAAAGTATTGGCATATGAGATAAAATAAACTTTTTTTTGCATTGTTCTGCATTTTTCTTTTTTAACTTTTACAAATTCCTCACCGACACCTCGCAATTTTCAAACACAGGAACTTAAAAACTTTTAAATGCTTGTCCTATTTATAAACAGGCAGTATCGCCTCAACGATGTTCATCACCGGAAAATACTTATTTTGGCCACTTTTTATTTTTGTATAAAAAACAGTCTGCAATGCAGTTTTAATTTTAATGGGAGCGGCGTTACTACACACATCTGTTTTCTCTAATTCATTCATATGTATCTACCAATGAAAGAGTGCACCACCGAAGCACTTTAAGTTGTTTCTCTCACTCCACATGAAATATTTATATACAAGGTGACAAATACTGTAAATTAATTAAACACACATACACATAAAAATTAAAAGAGACACCTTTAGCGAAAGAACAATCACAATTAATCACAATAGAGATGGCAAAATCATCGATGTATCGATAAACATGAATAGAAGAATATGGTTGTTATACTCTATTCTCATAGAAACAATCTTTTAAACAAAGAAATACCGGAAAACAAGAAGAAAATGTAAAAACCCTATGTTTCGACTTAAAATGTAATATTTATTGGACTTGGGAGGCTAATCCATAACTCAGGAATTCAGTCAGCAATTCATACTCCAAATATTTGTTAAAGTTAAAATATAACTACTTTCCCATTTCATTTTGCAAGAATGCAGTCAATTAATATTTAATGTAGCTACTGTTGCAACGTGGTCAGAAGCGGAATGTTAGTATGTGTATGTGGATATACTGTATTAAGCACAGAAAGAAAGTCTGACCATACAATCGACTATCGATAGGCAATTTGTGCACACTATATGCCATCCATGTGGCATCGTTGTGTTGTTGTTATTAATCAGCAAAGCAACGAAAGTAGAAATTTGGAAAGATGTTTGAGCTAAATATGGAGCTAAAGAAACTCAGGGAACTGGTAAGCAGATAATTCAACAGTCTTATGATGATACGACACAATGATATTTTTATTGAAGGAACTTAAGACCAAAGGTCTTGCCGCCAGAATACAAACTACCAAAAATTGTGATGGTGAGGTAGACGTCGATTTAATTCAGCTTCAAATTGAGAACAAGAAGCTTAAGAACCGTCTGTTTATTCTGAAGAAGGTAATTTCTCCCCAAGCATGGTTAAACAATTCATGTGTTGATTTTCCGAATAGTCCATAGCTGAAGAATCAACAGCCGGCGGCATGCAGCTCAAGGATTGTTCTTCGATCACTGAGCACTTGGAAAGCTTGTTTGCCCAGGCAATTGCATCAGCTTTTCCAAAATATAGTGATACACCTGTCGTAATTGCTCCGGTAAATAGTTCCTCTGCAAAATTCGGAGACTACCAGTGCAACAACGCAATGGGATTGTCGAAGAAATTTAAAGAATCCGGCATTAATAAGAATCCACGTGAAATTGCAACCGAGCTAAAAGGACACTGCCCATCATCACCAATTATAGAAAAGCTGGAGGTAGCTGGGGCTGGATTTGTGAATGTTTTTCTAAGCAAGTAGGTTTATCTGCGGTCCATTGTATATAAATATAATAATTTTACTTTATTTTCACAGAGATTTTGCAGCTCTTGCCTTAAGCAATTTATTGCGCAACGGAGTTAAACCGCCACAAGTGCCGAAGAAACGTGTTTTGGTCGACTTCTCCTCGCCCAACATCGCCAAACAAATGCATGTTGGTCATTTGCGATCCACAATTATTGGCGAATCGGTATGTCGGCTTCTAGAATTTCTTCAGCACGACGTGATCCGTGTCAATCATCTTGGTGATTGGGGAACACAGTTTGGCATGCTAATTGCCCATTTAGAAGATCGTTTTCCCAATTATCTCAATGAAAGCCCACCGATTAGTGATTTACAATTATTTTACAAGGAATCCAAGAAGCGGTGAGACCTATGTCACTCCCTCTAACGACAAATCTTTTAAATACCCATTTCTATACAGATTCGATGAGGACGAAGAGTTCAAAAAGCGCGCTTACAGTCGAGTGGTTTCATTGCAGAAAGGTGTGCCTAACTCCATAAAAGCTTGGGAACTAATTTGCAATGTTTCTCGAAAAGAATTCCAAACAATTTACGAACGATTAGATATTAGCATTAAGGAACGTGGTGAATCATTCTATCAATCACGTATGCTGTCGGTAGTTGAATATTTACGAGGAAAGGCTTTGCTGGAAGAGGATGAAGGTCGTGAGATCATGTGGCCTGACGATACAAAGACTGGTATTCCGTTGACAATCGTAAAATCAGACGGTGGCTTTACCTATGACACTTCTGATATGGCGGCTATCCGTCACCGCGTCGAGGAAGAACTTTGCGATTGGATTATCTATGTTGTTGACTCTGGACAAAGTACTCATTTTAACACAATTTTTAAAGCTGCGGAACGCTGTGCCATATTAAAGCCACGCAGCCATCGTGTGGACCATGTTCAGTTTGGCGTAGTTCTGGGCGAGGATGGAAAGAAATTCAAAACTCGATCGGGTGATACTGTTAAACTTGCCGATTTACTTGATGAAGGAATGAAACGGTCTTTGCAACAATTGGAAAGTCGAGGACGCGATAAGGTTCTTACACCTCAAGAGTTAAAAGACGCCCAACAGTCCTTGGCTTATGGTTGCATTAAGTATTCCGATTTATGTCATAACCGGATTAGCGACTATATATTCTCATTCGATAAGATGCTTGAGGACCGCGGCAATACTGCGGTTTATTTACTTTATACATATACACGCATTTGTTCTATTGCGCGTAACTCCGGTGAAGACTTTTCTAATTTGTCTGAAATACTCAAGAAGGTCAAGATTGAACTGACCCACGAAAAAGAGTGGAAACTAGCAAAAACTCTTTTGAAATTGCACGACATACTGATTAAGTGCTCAAAGGAACTTTTTCTGCATTTTTTGTGTGAATTCTGCTATGAGGTGTGCACTGTTTTCACTGAGTTTTACGACTCTTGTTATTGCATTGAAAAAAACAAACTGGGCGAAATTATTGAAGTAAACCACAGCCGCATTTTGCTGTGCGAGGCAACTGCAGCTGTGCTGCGTCAATGCTTCTATATACTAGGCCTAAAACCAGTTTCAAAAATGTAAACTTTTGACGTCTGGCATAAAATGTAAACGAATAAAAATTGAAATTTTTGAAGCAAAATTAATAATGTTGGAAAGAGTGGGGTAGTTTGCTAGATCTATCTATAAATATATATATCAAAAACTTCATCTAAAATTTGCACCGGCGAGCCAGCCAATAAGCATTTAAATAGCCATTTCTTATAAAAAGTGTGAAAATCGGTCATAAAATAGATTTCTAGAAATCAACCTTGAATTGTATTTTAAAATAAAAAAAGCCCTAATTCATTTCGTTTTTTTTATCAAAAATCTGAGTATTTTGTATCTAAACCAAATTTAAAATCGATTGACTGTAGAAAAATTTCATGTTAGACCAAAAAACACTATTAAGAAAAATATTTTGGTCAAAATTCGGTACAAATCAGCTCGATTTTTCGGTTTTTTGATCTAAACCATTGGAAATAATGGTAATATATTGGAATAGAATTCGTTACAGAATTTTTAATCGATTGTCATTCTTAGCTAAAAAATTGTATTTTGGCCCAACTTTGGAAAGAAATCAAAAAAAAAATGAAATTTACCAAATCCACTTGGAATTAAACAGTAATTTTTTTGGCTGTGCGTCTTATTTTCGCAAAAATTACAAGAATAAAACCCTTAAAAATGTGTTTTAAATATATGTTTTTGATAGACAAAATCAGTTTTTTAATCAAATCCCTTGGAAATATTGGTCAGATCGTGGAATGTCATACCTCGTTGAATTCGTTACAAAATTTCCAATCGAATGGTATTCTCAGCTCAAAAAGTTTTTTTTGGGCCATATTTGGAAAAAAATCAAGTGTTATCAAAAATGCGAAAATCGGTCAAAAAATGAAATTTACTAAAACCTCCTGGAATCGATTGTGTTGGTTGTGAGCTACACAGAACAGTCATTCTTTTGGCTGTACGTCTTATTTTGGCAAAGCTACAACGAAAAAACCCTTAACAAAATGCGTGTTAAATATATGTTTTTAATAGCCAAAATCCAAAAAATCAAGTGTTACCCCAAAAATGCGAAAATCGGTCAAAAAATTAAATTTTCTTAAACCTCCTGGAATCGATTGTGTAGGTTGTCAGCTGTACAGAACAGTCATTATTTTAGCTGTGCGTCTTATTTTGGCAGAGCTACAACGAAAAAACCCTTAAAAAATGCGTGTGAAATATATGTTTTTAATGGCCAAAATCCAGAAAAAAACAGCTAATTTTTTCAGTTTTTTAATCAAAACCCTTGGAAATAATGGTCAGATCTTGGAATGTCATACCTCGTTGAATTCGTTACTAAATTTTCAATCGAATGGTATACTCAGCTCAAAAATTTTATTTTTGGCCTTATTTGGAAAAAAATCAAGTGTTACCCCTTATCAAAAATGCGAAAATCGGTCAAAAAATGAAATTTACTAAAACCTCCTGGAATCGATTGTGTAGGTTGTCAGCTACACAGAAACGTCATTATTTTTGCTGTGCGTCTTATTTTGGCAAAGCTACAACAAAAAAACCCTTTAAAAATGTGTTTTAAATACATGTTTTTGATAGACAAAATCCAGAAAAAAACAGCTCCTTTTTTTAGTTTTTTAATCAAAACCCTTGGAAATAATGGCCAGATCGTGGAATGTCATATCTCGTTGAATTCGTTACAAAATTTCCAATCGAGTGGTATTCTCAGCTCAAAAATTTTATTTTTGGCCTTATTTGGAAAAAAATCAAGTGTTACCCCTTATCAAAAATGCGAAAATCGGTCAAAAAATGAAATTTACTAAAACCTCCTGGAATCGATTGTGTTGGTTGTGAGCTACACAGAACAGTCATTCTTTTGGCTGTACGTCTTATTTTGGCAAAGCTACAACGAAAAAACCCTTAACAAAATGCGTGTTAAATATATGTTTTTAATAGCCAAAATCCAGAAAAAAAAACAGCTAATTTTTTCAGTTTTTTAATCAAAACCCTTGGAAATAATGGTCAGATCTTAGAATGTCATACGTCGTTGAATTTGTTACTAAATTTCCAATCGAATGGTATACTCAGCTCAAAAATTTTATTTTGGGCCTTATTTGGAAAAAAATTATCAAAAATTCGAAAATCGGTCAAAAAATGAAATTTACTAAAACCTCCTGGAATCGATTGTGAAGGCTGTCAGCTACACAGAACAGTCATTCTTTTGGCTGTGCGTCTTATTTTGGCAAAGCTACAACAAAATCCATAGAAAAACAGCTCGTTTATTTAGTTTTTTATCGCTCAAAAAATAAAATTTACCAAGTCAACCTGGACTTGATTGTATAGGTTCTCTTGTTATGTTCACAAAAAATGTACTAGTTTTGTGTAGTTTTTAGTAAGTCAAACTTCATCAAAATATATTACCGTTTTTAAAGTAAAAATACTATCTTTTATAGTTTATATGGTAGTTTGAAAACACAAAATTAAATCTCCCGCCTAAAAGCCCGAAAATGCAATCCCAATTAAAACAAAATTATATTTTATATATATACAAAATAATCCTTTTTATTTAAAATCATGCTTATAATAAGTACTTAATGGCTTAATCTGTAGATAAAATAATTGCTATGTGTTTATATCTTTAATACTTAAGATAATCTAATGGTAACTATATACTAAAACATGAAATACTCTTTTCTATTAGAAACTAGCTTAATTTATTATTAATTTTAGGTATGTATTTTAGTTTTAGTAATAAGGTAAAGGAAATATGGAATTTATTTATTTATCAGTACTTGTAAGTGAGCGCCTTCATTGGTGAGATGTAAAACAAGGAGAGGACGCCTGGTAAGTCCGTGAAAATCCTGAAGACGACACTGCAACCCGGCGAAATTATCCAACTTCCTTGCCAATGCTGATCCTGATCTTCCAGCCGCATTCCTGTGTTTTCGTTTTTAATTTAGACTTCAATTATATATTTCAAATAAAGATTTTTATGACAACTAATTGTGCACAACTTTTACTGTGGGTGGGACCTACTAATTGATAGATCTTTCATCTTTTGTTTATAGTTTCTTAAACTATATTCGTCTTAAAACTGTAATAGCTTTCTTAATTAATAAGGCCATTACCCTTTAGTGTTGACTGTGGTCTCAAATTTATCATTGACAATGTTCTGCTCTGACCCTTGAAAAATATTTTTTGAATTCGTCATAATATTTCCAATTGGCTGCCATTCCAAAAAGGACTATCCTCCTGGAATCGATTGTGTAGGCTGTCAGCTACGCAGAACAGTCATTCTTTTCGCTGCGCGTCTTCTTCTGGCAAAGCTACAACAAAAAACCCTTAAAAAATGCGTTTTAAATATATGTTTTTAATAGCCAAAATCCAGTTTTTTAATCAAAACCCTTGGAAATAATGGTCAGATCGTGGAATGTCATATCTCGTTGAATTCGTTACAAAATTCCAGTCGATTGGTATTCTCAGCTCAAAAATTTTATTTTTGGCCATATTTGGAAAAAAATCAAGTGTTACCCCTTATCAAAAATTCGAAAATCGGTCAAAAAATTAAAATTTATAAAACCTCCTGGAATCGATTGTGTAGGTTGTCAGCTACACAAAACAGTCATTATTTTTGCTATGCGTCTTATTCTGGCAAAGCTACAACAAAAAAACCCTTAAAAAATGTGTTTTAAATACATGTTTTCGATGGCCAAAATTCAGAAAAAAAGATCGTTTTTTCAGTTTTTAAATCAAAACCCTTGGAAATAATGGTAATATCTTGCCATACCTCGTTGAATTCGTTACAAAAATTTCTCAGTTTATAAATTTTATTTCCGGCCAACTTTTTGGAAAAAATCATGACCTTACGAAAAATACGAAAATCTGTCAAAAAATAAATATTACCAAATCAACCTGGAATTGATTGTCCAGGTTCTCAGCTGCACACAACAGTTATTCTTTTGCTGTGCGTGTTATTTTGGCTAAGTTAGAACAACTAAAACGGAAAAAATAAGTGAAAACCGTAGTCTGCCCTAGGTAAAACAAAAATATCGATAATATTATACATCTTGTAGCATATCGATGTTATATCGATGTATTTCACTTTTCTTATTTTCCCATTTCTCGTATATATCGGCAAAAATTGTATAACTTTCACACCTCTACCCTGTCTTTCAGTCAGTATTTAGTCAAACAAAATAAAATACATTTGTTAGAGCTTGATAAGAATTCAGTTTGTCTTATGTGTGTGTGCCCGTCATCAAGCAACAAATCGACGTATTTTTTTGAGTATGCTTGTACATATTTATAAATTACTGTAAACATACAAATGCAGTTTAATTAGTTTTACAAAGCGAAAAAGTTAATGTTTCTGTTTCAGTGCACATATCTTGTTTATAAAATCTCAGGGTATTCCACCAATTTTCCATTCATTTAATTATGTTCTTGTTTATGTGGCATATTGCGGCATTGGATGTGTGTGTGTGTACTCCCACAGAACGGGAACTATCGCTGCTTAAACAGATATACACAAGTTAAACCCAGATTTCTGCTAGTATTCGATCTTGCTTAGTGTTTTAACAAGTACGAAAAGTGACATCTAATTCGATTTTTCTGCGTACATTTACCGCTGCATAAACGAGAGCAAATTCGTGTACATGTATTAGTCAGTGACTAATTGTTCAAAGCGCAACTCAACATGGCTGACTTTACTGTGGTGAGCAGCGATTGATGATAATGCTGCCTCTTTCTCTTTTCATTTCGAACATTCACAGTTTTCGCTCTCACTCTCGCTAACGTCAATAAAAAGTGCTGGTAATTTTCCCGTCGAGTCGACACACAAACAGCAAAAATACCGATACAAAGGATTAATCGAAAAATTATTTCGTTTTATTTTGTGCAGCAAGCAAGCAAACATATGTACAATGTACATCCATCGTCTGTGTTTTTAAGGGCGTCTACATACATATGAATCTTTATCTTCCGAGCAACTTTTTCATTCGCTGACGCTGTCACTTTCTATCAACAAAATAATAACGCCCACAATTGAATTTTCCAATTCTTGCTGTATCAGTGCTGTCGCTAATGCCCATAATTTAATTTTCTTTTCTTCGCGCAGCTGAAGAGTTCTAATGGAGACCCAATCTTGAACAAGGAAAACGATTAAAATCGAATATTAACAAATACAAACCCGAAACGAATCAAAAACTGTTGAAAAGAGTGTGCAATTAATTTAAAAAAGAAAATAAAAACAAGCAAGCGTTGTTTTTGCAGAGATATAT